CTCATGCCAACTCAGTTTCTCCATAGGTCTAATACCTAATGAGGAGTGCCAGCACTCCTAGGAAGAAAATCAGGAGAACAAAAGCCCTGATTCCTATAACGAGTGTCTGGCATCTGTTTCTAGAAGCCAGTTGGTATGAAGTATGACTACCAACTGTGACATGGAGACAAATGATCTGAAATATACCCCATGTCATATTGGCCTGCTTGGGACACCAAACAGCACTCAATTCATAGAGCATCATTACCTCTGTTCTCAGTAAAGAAGGGACAGAAGTTCTCATTTGTCACAGCTGCATTCTGCAGGCAGGCCCTAGTCAAGAGTTTCAGAAAGATGATCATCTATCCTTAGGTTTTGAGTATGAGGTATTTGGTAGACATCCTGGATACTTCTGGGATTTTTGCTGATAATCAACAAGGACTTAGAGCTTTATAGGGTAAATATACACATATTTTCCTAGAAAATTCAAATTTCATAATTTTTCACTCCTATGGAATCCTGATTAGTGGAATTTCATTTAACGACTATTTTCCGTTACTTTTTTATTAAAAAATTTTAAAATTATTTTTACTGAGGTAACTGGTTTACAACACTGTAAGTGATTTGAGGGTATAGGGTCACATCTTTTCAGATGTATGTTACAATACCACATCCCACCACCAGAATACCCATAATCATCTACCATAGGCCTCTTCCCCCATTTGGTCCTCTTCCTCCCACCCTCCCCACCACCCCGCCCCACCCCACTCCTCCGTAGCTAGTGACTATCTTTAAATATAACACAGAGATCAGCTATGTGAAGGGTCAGCACATCAACAGGCAACAGTTTCAGCTGTTAGGCAGTCCACGGCACCTCACTCTGAAACAGCTGCAGCTGTACTCAGCAGTATTTCCTTGCTCACTGACCTCAATATGAAGCTGGTGAAGAGCCTGTAGAAGACATTCCTGACCATCATTTACCTGACACTTCCTCTCCTGTATAATTCATATGGATGGTATGCTTCCAGGTAATTTGTGCACTACCTTTGTTACAAATTATGAACCAATATTGATGCACCACTAACTGAAGTCCAGAGTTTACTTTGAGGTTCACTCTGTGTTATACAGTTCTAGGGGTTTTGATAAACGAATAAATAATTGCAATACCATGCAGAATAGTTCCCCTCCCTCAAAAAATTCTTGTTCAGACCTCCTTCCTATTCCCCTCTGTCATCTCCTCCCAATCCCTGGCAACCACTGATCTTTTTACTGTCTCTATAATTTTGCCTTTTCCAGAACATTTTGTTGTTGGGTCATATTGTATGTAGTCTTTTCAGATTGGTTTCTTTGACTTAGCAATATGCATTTAAGTTTGGTTCCTCTATGTCTTTTTATGACTTTATAGCTCTTTCTTTTTTTAAATCACTGAACAACATTCACTGTAAGGGATGTATTACAACTTATCCATTCACCAACTGAAGAACATCTTGGTTATTTCCAAGTATTGGAAATTATGAATAAAGCTACTATAAACATCATGTGCAAGTTTTTATGCAGATGTAAATTTTCACTGATTTGGGTAAATACCCTAAAGCATGGCTGATGGATCATATAATAAGTCTATGTTTAGTTTTATAAGTAGGATGTATGCGCAGTAACTTACATCTGAAGAGGTACGAACCTATATCCCTAAATCATATACAATGTTGTAAAACATTACCTCAATGACAAAAGAAAAGTTTAAAAAATTTTAAACATCACCTAAAAAGATTAATTTTGAAAAACAAAAAAACAAAAACTGCATTGTAAATTATTACCAGTTCTTTAGTGCCCTTGGAAAAAAGCTCAGTTTAGCTCTTTAGCCTATTCACCCACTCTTATTCCTTCATTCTCTTGTTTATTGTAATTCTCATCACACGATGTTTTGTGTGACCCCAAAATAGAAGGCAAAGCCATAAGACCTACTTGACAGACGATATTTTAATTTCTTCTGCCATAATAAAGTTTCATTGTTAAGACTGAGAAATACCCATTATAAGGCTGAATGAGGAAGTAGGTAAGTATGTAGAAAAACTATGTCTATGTCAATAGAGCCCCCAGGTGACAGTTTCTGTTTTCTCTGAGATAAAAGCAAGTTCATATGCTAGGAATGTAAGAGTATGGGGTTGGGACTTGAGGAGCATGTTAAAATTTGAATGACTGTTGGGAAAAATGGAGAGGAATCTTAAGACACCAAAAATTTGGGAGTGTGCTGAGAATGCAATAAAATTAGAAATTGTATGTACTGTAGTGACAATTTGCCTTAAGGTAGAAATTTCTCCTGCAGCATTCTGTGCTCCTACAGTAAAAATGGATAAGACCAGTGGTTGGATTGATCTGTAATTAGATTTTGCTGGGATTTGCTGGGTGAATATAATAGGGGTATGAGAATATGATGTATTGATGAAGTGCTGTAGCTTTGGCATTGAAGAACTACTTCAAATTCTGGCTCTGCTCCTTATGTGACCTTGTGCAATCTATTTAACCTTCTGAAACTTTGTTGTACTACAGGTAAAATGTGAATAAACATATACTTCATTGTTTCAAAACATACTGAGTGCACTACTGTATTTTTTTTTTTTGGATGTGGAGATATGATACAATTACTGCCTTTTTGGAACTAATACTTCAGTGAGAGAGAAAATAAAAATATATGATAGATGCAGAAGACTTGGGGAACAAATAAGCAGAGATGGTTTGTACTGCATGTAGGGTACTGCACTTTTTGATGTGGAGCCAGCAAAGGTCTTACAGAGGTGATACTGGAAAATCAAATGTTTCTGTAAGCATTAAGATGAGGATGTATGTAGCTGATTAGCTGAGTGTTTGACACACAGTGTGCCTTAATAAATTAAACTAATATTTGTATCGTTAAGGGAGTGCCTAAAATCAAGGTGTGTGTGTGTGGGGGGGCTTTACTTAGGGACTTAAGAACATGCATGAATTCACTGAAAGTTAACTGGAGCTTCTCAAATTCCAGGACCTGAGTCCTCAGACCCCAGCCTTTGCGCCGCGCCTAGTTTTGAAGGGCCACTTCCTAAGAGTACTTTCCTAGTACTCACTATTGTTGCTCACTCATGTCCTTAGAGATCTCTGATCCTCTTTCAGTTAGATGCCATATTCTACCTAGTGGAGTTCCATCACTAAGCAGCTGTAAGTCTTTGAACTATGTCTTTTGATTCTAATTTTTCATTAGTAAAACGTAGAAGTTAAATTAGACAATCTGCTTTCTTTTTCTTTAAAGATTTAGTTATTTATGCATAGAAGAACTGGGGTATAGGCCAGAGGTGTGGGGGGGAGGGGATGGTGGTGAGAGGATTCACCAGAGACAGAGTGGGGAGCAGAACAGGCGGATGGATTGCTGAGAGGAGCTGCCGGTGAGACAGGAGAGGTCTGTTGAGTCATGTGGGTCACCTCCCTAGCTGGGGATCGAACTTATGCTGCAGTAGCTGTGGATAGCTTGATGGCGCTGTGTCTCTAACCCCTGCCCCACCAGAGAGGCCCTAGGCAATCTACTTTCAGGCTTTAATATTTTCAAAGCAAAACCCATATTCCCACTTCCTTCTCACTGGTCATTCAACAATCTTGACGGTAGCTGGTGCCTGCAATACCGCTCGGCAAAAGCCTGGACCTATCACAATGCCTACCAGTCGGAGGAGTTGGAGGAATCAGCCTTTTTGACCCACCTCCTAAACACCTGACCTTTCCCATAAGGCTCTCCCTCCCGCCACATCCGGCTCCTCCCCGGATATATTCTGCCGGAACTCTTCTCCCTACAGACTAGGCTCCTCCTCCACTTTTATTTATTTATGCATACAAGAGCTGGGCTGGGGTGGGGGTGGGGTACAGGCCAGAGAGGCTCCACCAGAGACAGAGTAGGGAACAGAACAGGCAGACTGCAATACACTACTGAGGGGAGCAGCGGGCGAGTCAGGAGAGGCCTGCCACGCCATGTGGGTTGCTCCCTGGCGGGCAGGGGCTCGAACTCGTGCTGCAGAGGCTGCGGACAGCTTCACAGTGCGGTCTTAACCCCTTGCGCCACCAGGGAGGCCCTTCGTCCTCCACTTTTCAGAGTCCACTGGTTGTTTCTTTAAGGAAGCGGAGTCTTTTCTGCCGGTGATTGGTTTCCGTCTTTGTTGATTGGTTAGTTACAAACGAGGCGTGCCTGGTCTCCTAGGTAACGCGTTTCGAACAGCTCTGATTGGTCCTTGCCTGAACCAATTCTCCCTTTGCTACAGCGAATGGCTCAGTCCCTTGGCGGGGCGCGGCGGTGGTGTTTGTCGCTTGCGGGACTCGCGAGCTGACGTGGCGTAGATTTGCGAGAGGGCCTGCTGGAGCCTCCGGCGGCAGCCTCTGGCGGGTGAGTGGGGGGCGCCCCCTAACTCCTACCCTCCCTGAGTCCCTTAACGGTCACCCCGGCCGCCGGGGCCGCGGGGGCCGCGCTCGGGTGCCCGCCCCTCCTCTCCCGGATTCAGTCCGGGATCCAGCCCTTCACCCGCCTCCCTCTCCCTGCTCGGCCTAGTTCTGTCCCCCACGCGCCCGCTGGTCTCGCCGAAGGACTTCGCGGCCACACCGCGCTGTCTCGGGGGCGCACAGGCTCTGTCTGCCCCTCCCCGTGACATTTCTCCCCCGGTAGCCACCGACTGAGGCGCCGGGTCACTCCTGTGCTCACGGCCCTGTTCTCTGAGCGGCTGCTCCGGCCGACCCGGGGCGCGGCAGCTGGCCGCGGAGAGAACCTGCCGGCCCTGCGCCCAGGCCCAACCTGAACAAACTTAGCGTCCGGAAGGCGAGGCGGGACCCAAACAAATCCCAGGTCTTGAGGGCGGAGATCGCAGAATTGTGAGAGAGAGCAACGCAAAAGGGGTCCTGTCCAATGACCCTGCTAAGAAGTTGCTGGAGAAATTCAGAGAGGAGGTGACCCTGGTGATCCCGTAGATGCTAAAATTCCAGGAATCTGAGGTGGGGAGGGTATGGAGGAAAGGGAACCTGGAGAGAGTTCTGGAGGTCAAAGAACATGATTTTGGTGTTGTGGAGGATGTTTGTTCTGTAGAACGGGAGTGGCGTGCAGGATTGTGAAGGGGAGAGTTAGCTCCTTGACAAATAAGAAATATATTTGGCTGACTTATTTAAAGAGTGCCAGTTGGTCTATAGGGAGAGGGCAATGTAAGAGTAGGACAAATAATTAAAATCACTGGATAAATACGTTGGCTTTTGCGGAGACACTTGGAAACTTTTTGAGTCGTTAAAGAGTTACAGTTATGCTGGATGGCACCGAGGAATTCCCTACAGAAAGACTAGGCCTTTCCAAAAGCAAGTGAATTAGATTTGCATGGTCAGAATGATTGCGAGTAGTCAAAACCACAAAATATTCTTTTAAAAAATGGCAGGATTCGGATTCGGTCACATAACCCCAAATGTCCCCTCCCCTCAGCCAGCCACCGCCTCCCGCCCCACCCAGCGTAGCACTGATCCATCATAATGGAATTACAAGGTGAACATTATTGTCTTAACTACCAGGCCACACAGTATCACTTTGCCAGAAACTGTTCATATAGGAAAGAGTTGAAGAGAACTCAGAAAATACAAACATTGTACACTGACTGATGCACAGCTTTTACTTTTCATCTTTCGATCTGGAATGACCATTTAATGTTTTACTCTTTGTGGCAGTAAACTTGGTTTCCAAACATTTCCAAACATTGTTAATCGCACACCCTACCAGTAACACACATTCGAGCCTGCACGGTCCAAATATTGTATACTTAATTATGGGTAATGTGTGAATAGCACTATAAATATCGAGTATACAAAAATATATTTAAAAGGATAAAAAAAATTTCTCAACGGGACATTCCCAAACTATTTTGAAGACCAGCTAAAGTCATAAAGGTATTTGCTGATTTTTCAAGAAGGCTGTTTGTATCTCGGAGGACCTCCCTCCTAGACGCCTCCTTTTTTTTTTTTTTTAGGACTTCTTTCTTCTGGGATACATTTTCCTCTCCAAAAAAATAATCATTTTTTCAGAGACAATTTTACTTTTGTTTAGAGGGTGTATGGTTCATAAATATTAAAATTCATTGAGGAACATTGTCACAATGTCTGAAATCTCAGCACTTTTTCTGTTAATTGTAAAGGTAGTAGCAGTAGGATCCAAGTTATTTAGAGTAGAAAATTTTAATACAAATTTGAATACAAACAGGCTATTAGAAATGGGTGGGTGTTGGGGGGGAATCTGAACTGAAAGTTATGGAAATGGCCAGTAAGTAAGATACATATTAATACAGGTTAGGCGGTCTAACAAAGTTAAGGATTAAGTCCAGAAACTATTGTACCTTATGGACAATTGTAGCTGTTGGTTTTTTATAAACCTTTCCATTTAAAATGAGAAATATATTGAAATTTGTGTGAAATCACATGGCTTATCGGGAATGGGTTCATAAAATTTTTTTTTGCTGAATCATAGGTTTATTTGACAAAGTAAGAGAGAATAAGTTTGCATGGAAAGAATAGTTAGAAATTCATGTTTGTAAATGAAATTATGATAATGTAAGATGCAGATAATGTAAGATAATGTAAGATGCATTACCTTAAAGATAATGTAAGATGCATTATTTCTCACTAAACAATTATGTATTTGTAATGCAAAAAAATTAGTAATGGTGATTAAAATCTCTGGTTGCAACTGAAAAGAACGGTGTATGACTGCACTGTACGTAATCAAATGCCCTTTAAAGCATGGTCTTGCTACAGTATGTGTTCAATATATATCAACTGCAGTTTTATTACTTCACTTATAGATGATACAGTTACCAATATAAGAGAAGCCTAAATCCATTTTACTGATTCCGATCCTTCCTTACCTTATCCTGCAGATATGTTGAGTCGATTGTCAGGATTGGCACATGTTGTTTTGCACGAAATATCAGGAGACTACACTGATCAGAATGAGAGGCTGGTAGATGCTGTGAGTAGATTTGTTCTGAATTAAATTGACAAGACCTAAGATAGATGGGAGTAAGCCCCCTTCCTTGTGCTATGTAGAAGAGAGGAAGAGGATCAAAATTTTTTTTAATTTATTTGTTATGCATGGAAGAACTGGGGTCTAGGCCAGAGATGCAGGAGGTGAGAGGATTCACCAGAGAGAATGGGGAGCAGAACCAGTGGATCTACTGAAATGCACTGCTGAGGGGAGTGACTGGTGAGACAGGAGAGGTCTACTGAGCCATGTGGGTCACCCTCCCTAGCTGGGGATCGAACTCATGCTGCAGTAGCTGTGGATAGCTTGATGGCGCTGTGTCTCTAACCCCTGCCCCACCAGGGAGGCTGGAGACAACTTTCAGGCTTTAATATTTTAAAAGCAAAACCCATATTCCCACTTCCTTCTCACTGGTCATTCAACAATCTTGATGGTAGCTAGTGCCTGCAGTACCGGCTCTCGGCTCTCGGCAAAAGCCTGGGTCATAATGCCTACCAGTCGGAGGAATTGAAGGAAACAGCCTTTTTGACCCACCTCCTAGAGTAAACACCTGACCTTTCCCAGAACGCCCTCCCTCCCACCATATCCGGCTCCTCTCCGGATATATTCTTCCAGAACTCTTCTCCCTACTGACTACACTCCTCCTCCACTTGTTTTTTGTTTTTTTTTTTAAGATTGATTTACTTATGCATACAAGACCTGGGGTAAAGGCCAGAGAGGATTTGCACTGGGTTAGCTCCCTGGCCTTGGATTGAACTCAGCCATGCTAGTGCTGAGACTAACCACCAGGGAGGCCCCAGAAGATGAAAAATATTGAGATTTTGATGCTTCTCTTGTAATTTTCGACTAAGAGCCACAGTGATGGGAATCAAATCTTAGGTGAGATTTGGAATATCTTTCTCATTGCTAGATTAACTCCTCCTTGAGTGTATATTCTGGTCCCATAGTGAAGTTTTGAGTGACAAATGGTGGCATTGCACACCTTTCGGGTTTGATAATATCTGTTATTGTAAATTCGTGTCCTGCTTCTCTTTTCTTGTAGTTTGTATTGTATTTTTGAGGACCATATAAGGCATCGAAAGAAGTCCTTCAATTTTCTGAAAAGATAAGAAGTATGGCTTAATTGTTCAGAGAAATTTTATTCACCTGATTTCTTAATTTTAAATGTTGGGCTCTTTGTGGTCTTTGTTGCCCATTGCTTATCTCTTTGGTAAAATTCAGATAATAAGACTATTAATGAAATCATTATAAAATGATTAATATTTACAAAATACTTAATTTATTGTAATGATTATGATAATATTAGATCAGAGTTGGAAATCTTTTTAAGTAAGGATATAAAGTGGGCAGAAAGTAAGATGAAGTTAGAATGAAAGATCTTCTATATGGAAACTAATCTTTTCCCTGGTACTTTGGCAACTTTTTGTCTAAATATTAGGAAAATTCCCAAACACCGGATATGGAAATTAGTGATACAACACAAGATGATGTTCTGAAGCGCCTGGCTGATGCAGAACGCTTAGTAGCAGAACAGAAAGTAATCATTAGACAGAAGGAAATTCAACTACAAGAAAAGGATGAACTTCTACAGGTATCATGATTTTTCTTCTTCCTTATTGAGCATTTGATAAATTTGATAGACATACCATTCACTTAGATTTTTCTACTAACTTAGATTTTAAGACAACCTGATTCTTTTTTCCTTAATACTAGAAGATGGTACCTACTGAGAATAACTTATTCTGTTCTGGATAAGTAATATGCAATCATTTATGTATTGGCTGTCATTGTTCTGTAACAGGAAGAAAGAAAAATTTCTGATAAAAAGATCAAAAAATTGAAACTCCATGCGAAGGCCAAATTAACCTCTTTGAATAAACATATAGAAGAAATGCAGGCTCAAGCAGGGACTGTTCTGCCAACACAATCTCATTCAGAAGAGCCATTTTTCAAGGTATGTGGTGGGTGGTTGTTTTCTGTGGGAGAAAAGCCTCCCAATTTAGCATATCTTCATTAGTCACATTTACAATGCTGAAGTAACACAGCACCAAATGCTGGCCTTTCCTAGTGAGTTAGCAGTTTAGCTGGGCTTATAAATCAAATATAAAGAGAATGAAAGAACAACAGAAAACTTGGAAACGAACTGCCAATTGTGGCCTAGACTTTCAGAAAATTAAAAAAGTTGACAGATAAAATAGGTACTGAGATGAGGTCTTTAAATAAGAGAATCACATACCTCTCACACCCCTTTGGAGGTGTTTCATCCATTGGAGGATAAACTACCTGGTCTCTACAGTTTTGAAATTCTTTAATTCAGTGACTTGATTCAAAATATTTTATGTCCTCAGTGGTCACTAGTGGATGAAAGTTTTATGCATTTCAGCCTGAATCAGTGGGATTGCCTTGGGTTCTCTCTGGGCATATGAGTGTGTGATCACCACCAACAAAACAGATGAAGGTTGGGATTAGAGGGAAGAGTAAGGAAAGCAGTGCCTTTTGAGAAATACAGGTTTGTCCTAATACTTGTTTTTATTATTTTTTCCTCTTTTGCTAAACTGGAGAACAAGAAACTTGAGTTTGGTGGAAAGTTTGGTGCAGAATATCTGGAGGCCAGCATAGCACAAATGCACACTGTATCTGGCCCAGACTTCACTCTGCATCAGAAATCTTTTATTTTCTTAGTTTTACCCTGTGACCCACTATTACTCTTATTCTCATTATTTTCAGTTCCTGGGAAATTAGATTGTCTAGATACAACTCTTTGGAGTCAGTAGTTAGCTCCCTGGTTCCTGGTTAGTCTTTCTTTTCTGGGTCTAATGCTAAGAAGACATTTTTTCCTGAATTGGTAGCCTTATTTAAGTTCTCAAAGTTTATTTTAGAAGCTTTTCTAATTTTTTTCCAAATAATTTCTTCATCTTGATTTTCTTTTTACTTTTTGTTTTTTCCTGATAATTCTACTTCGCCCTGGCTATGATAACACCTGCCTGCCTCTCCCAATTTGCTTTGTTTCTTCTGAGTTTCACTCTGCTATTTTAGATTTTTAATCTATCCATTTTGTACTCAGCTTCTTTTTTTAAGCTTTGAGATCTTAAGTCAGTGCCTTACAGCTTCATTTCCTTCCTCTGTTAAATTAGGCTTGAATTAAATAATTTCTAACTTCCAGCAGTCAGTCACAGCAACCATTTAACTCTTGTATATTCATTACAGAATTAAATATGTGGAAAAACAGTTGAGGGAATGATAGCAATTCCCAGATGCTTAACCATTATGTTGAACAATGTTTAAATTACTCTGTTTAGTTCTAATAAACAGACTAGGTTTAGGTGGGGCATGAGGTGGTGAGTTTAATAGTGAGGCAGTCAGATTCAGTTTAAATAAGAGCTTTTGGGCAAAATATAGATTAAAAGCATTGGGTTTCTCTTCACTCACTGTTATTTGGACATTTTGTCCCTGACTTAAGAGTACTGTGGTTTCCTGAATTTTGTCCTCTGGTTCTTCAATGCAGCAAGACTAGGAGTTTCCTAAAGTTTTAGTCCTGCATAGTACTGACCGGCTTTACTCAGCTAAAAACAATAAAAATGGGGGACTTGGCACTATTTTTAATTTCTTCTAGTAACAACTCTTCTCCCATATCTAACTGTTTTGAGTTGCTCTCCATCATCCTCAGGTAACAAAATTTATAGCTGTTATCTGAGGGGGCATGTTTCTAATAGAAGATACTTGGTCATTCTAAAACTGGAAAACTCTTAATATTCCTTCCTTGTTGTTAGATTAGGTTTTATTTCTTATTCCCATCCATTTTGTAAAACTATAATCAAATGATTCTATAGGACAAAGTAGAGCGAAAGGTCAAATATATATTCATTGTAATCCTTTTAAAGAAATGCCTATATTTCCTCCATTTTCAGGATGAGAAGAGTTCTGCAGAGGAAATAATGGAATTGGATAAGATAAAATGTAAACTCAAGGAGAAGGAAGAACTAATTAGCAGTTTGAAAGACCAGCTAACCCAAGCACAGGCAGAACAAACTACACTGGTAGGGCCATAGGTCACTTTATAATCAGTGACTTAGTGATCACTAAAGCCCAATGAATTATTATATATAACAAATGTGTTTTTCTAGATATCCTATGGCTATTTAATCTGTTTCTATCAATTTCCTTCCCTTCCTTCTTAAATCTAGTAATTACTACTAAACTATGCATTAGTATTTGTCATTCTCTGTTGATATTTGTAGGTACCCAGTACTTTCTTTCAAATGTGGTCTCACATATTTTCATTTCAGAAGAGTTTTTTGAATTCTATAGTTTGTAGTATTTGGTTTGTTTTTTCTGTTACCCATATTTCCACCTTTGATTATCTTCAATATTTGTCACTGTCTTGCAAATTTTTTTGTCTCTCAAAAAAAGAAAAACTTTTCTCCCCCTTGCCTTAGTTCCATTAAGGAATGTTATGTTTATTTGCCTTTGTATTTATTCTTATTTTGTCATTTTTGAAATGATTTTTTTTTCTTTTTTATCAAATTCTTGAGTTCTAGCACCTCATTTCTGAGTTTTCCTGATTTATGTTGTTCTTGTACACCTTATATAATTTTCTTAATTTTAAACACTTTTTGAGATAGATCACAATTTCAGTTTGGTTTTTGGGCATGCCTCTGGTATGCTTTTACCACCTGTAAGTTTATTGTTCTGATCATTAGCTTGTTTTTCAAAATGGTAACCTTGTATGGGATTTGACCTTGATCTTTTTATATTTCTTATTTTTGTGTGAAATTAATTTTCCTAAACTTTTAGAAGGAGGATTGGGTTCCAGATAACATTTTTTACTTGACACACCTCTCTTTTGAGTTTTTCATATTGTGTCTAAAAATATAGCACTGAATTTCTGTGATTTCCTGGCTTTCTTCCCCTGCCCTTCACTTTGGTCTGTGTGACATTGGGCAACAGTAATATAATGTGAGCCACATGTATAATGTAAAAATTTTTAGTAGTTAAGAAAGGCAAATTAGCTTTAATAGTATATTTCATTTAGTCCACTATATTAAAAATATTGTATCTTCAAGATTAGTGTAAAATTATTTTGTGTTATTTTACCTTTTTTTTTCCACTAAGCTGAAATTTGGTATTTTACATTCTATCTCAGTTTGAATACTAAATTTTCATTGAATATACCTTAGCTCTTTAGATTTCATAAAATTTCCACTTGAAAAAAGATTCATGTGCTCAAGTTGTTCAAAACATACTTAAACGTGTTCCAGTAACTAAACTTGTGTCGAAACATCATTTTCCTTTAATATTTGTAGGTGCATGGAAGAATTGGTTAATTTTACATTAACTTGACTTTGAAAAGCATAACAACTTCAAACCTATGTATAAGAAATGAAAGCATACACCCATATAAAGACTTGTGTGAAAATGGTCACAGCACTCTCTTTTGTAATAACCAAAAACTGGAAACAACTTATAAAGTGAAATGTAGTCATACTAGTGGAAAATAACTTATATTTAATTTAAAATAATATTAATAGTGAAATGCACATTGGGCATACTGTAAGTCCTATATTGGCATATATGGTTAGTTGATAATGAATTATATGCACATATGCAGACCTTTTTCTTCTGTTTCTGTTATCCCTAGTCTCTTAATTTTTGTTTTACTCCCAGAAGTTTCTTTTTTGTGACAGTCCATGCCTGATGAGACAGCTTTGAGACTTCAGAGGACCCACCTAGATTGTTCTACCTTTTCGTCCTTCTTACTGTGGACTCTCTTTACTTACCCAATATTAGAAAATGGGACAATTCTGCCAGCTTTAACTGCTGTTCTAAGATTGACCAACTGTGCTTTACAATAAGAATTTATTGTCCATTTGAGGGTTTTCTTTTTCTGAAGATCTTTGGAAATTACCTTATTGTTCCCTTCTTCCTCTCCACAGTGTCTAATGCCATGCAGGTCTTATGTCTTGCTTATATTTTGTGGTTTGTGGGATTTACCTTCCTAATTTTGTTATAAATAATGTACATGGACTTTAGGTTTTACTGTGTAGTTGTACTGTCTCATTCTTTGTAAAGATTCAGAGAAGTTGAATTGCTGCTATAGCTTTTATCTCATTCTGATCAATAATTTTGATAATTACTTTTTAAAAATCACAGTACCTGCAATTCCCTTGTATTAGGCAGAAATTAGAACAATATGGGTAGGTATTTAGGGCAAATGAGAAAGAGAGATCAAAGATTTAAGAGTGCTAAGTCTTTTGCTTAAATAAATACTTTTTTCCTTCTATATCTTCAGTTTGATAACAGTTCTACAGACACGGAAGAATTTGTAATGATGAAACAACAGCTCCAAGACAAAGAAGATATTATCAGTACCTTGCAAGCCCAGCTTAGCCAGACACAGGCAGAGCAGGCTGCTCAGGTAGGATGGGATACCTCATAATCATTAGGCTAAAGAATCACAATAGCATAATGGGTTATTACATGATAGGTCAATTCAACGAGTCACTTTTAAAACTTTAATATAGTAGACAAAACTATAAGTACAGATTAGGAGGGGTGATATTAGAAGAAATTAGAAGTTATTTACCTTTATGAATTTGTCTTAGCCTAGTTGATGATTGTTTCTTAGTTTTGCAGGCCCAGAAATTGGACTTTAGTAGCATAAAAGAGGGTAAGGGTGAAAGCAAAGGGTTGGGTGCTTTGATGGTGGGTGTGGTGTGGTGTGGTATCATAATCTGAGGAACAGGTGTGAACCTATTCCCGTAGATCATATAGACAGTGTTGTAAGCCAATGCTACCTCAAAAAAAAAAAAAAAAAGTATGTAATGAGACTGTGTGCTCCCTGCCCTATGTTTTTTTTAAACTATCACCATTCATTTAATTTTAATGGAAGTTTATTTAGTGCACAATAAGAAAGCATTGCAGGTTATATGATTCAATTATAAATGCACCAATTTGTGACTTCCTTCTTCATATTTATTTCTGCTGCCGGTACTAGAGTATGTCCATTGGCTTTTCTCAATTCTATTTTTTTAAATTTCCAATTTTGACCACCCACCTCCATATATTTTCTTTAGGAATGCTTTTCACACATAAAAGTTTTTTCTCCTGACGTGCCTTTGCTTAATAGTCAATCTTTTCTATTGGGTATATGTTGATTTCTTGTAGTATTAGTGGTACCTTCTGTTTATAGATAGCCTACTGCTGTGTTTACAGTTAAAATTGTACATGCTGAAATCCTTACTTTTACCTATCAGCTTTATTTGTGTCCTCTTTTATATGTAGGTTTTATATAGAAGAAAGGATGGAGAAAGAGAAACTATGATTTTTACCAATGAATGGCTTAAAATGCAGAAATCCAAATTTAATAATAAATCTAACAAATTTAGAAAGTCATTGAGAAAAAGTGCATAGCAAGCAGCAACACAAACTGAAATTATTTTGATAATTGAAAAATTATTGTGAGAGTGTACCAAGGTTACATGGAAAAGTTAGGATTTAGGAGAAATTGTCATTGCTAGATAATACAGACAAGATGAGGGAAGGTATTCCATTTCTGAGAACGGTGTGAGCAAAGTCTCAGAGAAAAGATAATCTGGTACAATTATGGGAAAGGATGTATAGATGATTTTGGCTAATATGAGCTACTCTAATGTCTATCCACTTGAAAACATAGGCTCCCATAATCATAGTGGTGCAAGAATTCATACCACAAAAACAATTATGAAGATATTTTTCTCCTGTTTAGAAGGCGAGCCAAGGTCAATTAAAGGCATCACAAACTGAGAAATCGGCAATAGTTGAAGGATCAGTGCAAAATGGGCAAGCTAATGGCTGGTTGGCATGCTCAACCACAGATCTTAAGGAAATGAATAAGCAGGTATATATACCTGACACCAGAAAACAAAACACTGGTACTGAGCAGCTCACAGTCATTTGGTGTTTCCATTTCATTTTCCTAAGAGCCAGTTATAGATGAAGGTGACCTGGAAGCCTGCAAGTAACGACAGCTGAAATTAGCCATCTGGGGAGATGGTATGGGTTTAGAAATATACCACTTTCTTTGGTGGCAGCATTCTTTGAAAATAAGACTAGAAAGAAAGATTTATATTTCTAATTGGAGAGAATTTTGTGTATAAAATTCATTAGTTTGAAGTTTTACGTTGGCCATAAGAATTTAAGTGAAAGTTTTGAGAATTGAGTGTGATAGTGAAAGAAGTGTTTAGGGCTCAATAGATCTGACTTCACTTTGTATATTTAATAATCTAATCTCTGTAGAACCTTTTTACAGCATGCCTCTTGTGTATTTAAACATGTCTAGTAACCATGCCAGTAAGGCTTTAAATCAGAATATATTTAGACTAACTTTTGAATTTGATAATTGGGTTTCTCTCACATTGGAAGTTACTGTCAGGCCTTACTTTCTTCCAACTTTCTCATCCTTGACATTCAAAAATTAATTTAAAAAACCTATCGTCTGTCAATTTTCAGTGTCTTGTTTGGAGAATAGCCTGTGACTTTTGTTTGTGCGATATCTGATATTCGGAGAGCGTAACTTGTTTAGTTTCTCTGGTGTGTATCTTCAGTTGAGTTCCATGCAGCAGGTGGTCCGAGAAAAAGATGCCCGCTTTGAAACACAGGTTCGTCTTCATGAAGATGAGCTTCTTCAGTTAGTAACCCAGGCAGATGTGGAAACAGAGATGCAACAGGTGTGTTGCTAAAACTTAGTAGAACGACTCATTTTGGTTAACATTTAATTGTTATCATAGCATATATCATAGCACTTTTCTGCCCTTACCCCCTCTCTCCATTTGGTCTTAGTGTGCTCCTTAGTTGGTTTCTTTTTGGTGTTCTTGTCTTCTCTTGCATATTAATCATTACTTCTTATCCTTGCCTCTAACCAAGGTGTTGGTACTCAAAAGCTGAATTTATTGCGCAAATGTACGTGGTAGTCAGAAATTGGTTTCTCTTCTGTTTGCTGATTGTAGTTTACCTTTGTGCAGTAAGCTTCAAATCAATAAAGTCATTTCTAAACTTCCAAAAAATTAAAGATGAGGAGTAGTGATTTTAAAGTCATCAAATTTTTCAATGAATCAATAATTTTTTAAAAAAATTAAGTGAGTATATTTTGCAAATTGGCTTCATTGCTTTTGAGTGTATCATCTATTAACTCAAACGTCCTCGTTTTTATTTAGTGTGTAGTGTGGTAGCCAATGGCACTCCAGTGGTATTTCCTGGTTGATCCATTTAATTGTTTTCCAATGAAAACTTCTTGTTTTTAAGCACTCCTTCAGTATACATTACTGCAGTTTAAGAATATATACTTTTGAAAGAATATCAGTGTGTATATGTAGCACTGATTGTTTATTCCACAAATGTTTATCAAGTGCATGTCCTATGCATGGAACTAGAAGAGAAATGGTTTTTCCTACAGAGAATGTTCTCGCTGGTAAATGAGATATATGTGTACCTATGTTATTTAAGTAGAAGACATTGACTATATAATTTTAAAAGTGGATATTGTCACTTCCTCTAATTGTTAAAAAGGCTCCCATACTTGCTGTGTGTCAGGTTAGTTGTTAGTGTTCTAAAACAATTTTGGACATTTTTGGATTTTTTTTTGTGCTGGTGAAGGGGGAGCATGACATGCTGGTGTCCCACTTTTCAATCTGTCATACTCAGTCCAAAAATCTTAAGAAATCTTTTTTTTTTTTAAAGAAATGTTAAGTACACATATCTACGTAGCAATTTAAAAGGTAAGCAGGTAATGGTGCTTGCTAGTTACCATATTATATGTAAAATGTTTTCTACTTAGAAATTGCGGGTGCTGCAGAGGAAACTTGAAGAACATGAAGAAGCCTTGTTGGGCCGTGCTCAGGTTGTTGATTTGCTGCAGCAAGAGCTGAGTGCAGCTGAGCAGAAAAACCAGGTACTGCCTAATGATATTTACTGCCTGCCTCAATGTTTACTGCATGTTAGTTTGCCAAGCAGTAGGTAAAAATCCTATTATAAGTCTTCAGAGAATTGATGCTATTTATTCATTCTTTCAGCAAATTTCCTGTGGTTAAGTGGTAGTGATAAAGTGACAAGCAAAACAGATACAGTTCTTTCTCTCATCAAGTTTATACCTTTTATTGTTGCTCTTTTTTGTGTGATTTTATGTCTAGACTTGTAGAATGTGGTATTTTCCTCTAGTGAATTTATTTTCTGTCAGTTTATCCCTTCTCTGTCTTATACTGTTCCTCCTTTGCTGGTTTTTGTTGGTTGATTTTTTTGTTGGATTGACATAATTCCACCACAGTCTTCCTTGACTCTAAAGGTAATCAAGGCTCCTGATGGTCTAAAAATCTTAAAATTAGGTATCTACTCCCTGCCTATAGTCCACCTGCCAGTGCTTTCTCAGATTGCCCTGACCTTCACTCTCTGGACATCCCTTGGCCCCTCTCACTTTGTTCTTCTAATATGTTAATTCTTTCTTGGGTTCTTTCCTTTCTTTGTCTGTGTGAGTCTATATCTGACCACTTGGACCAGCCATTGGTTTCCTTGTGTTCCCAGCCCATTATGTTCAAATAGCCAAATCCTACTACAGTCCACATTGTCTGTCTGTTCATTTGGGTGCTCTGTGCTGCTGGGGAAAGATGTCTCCTTCCTTCTTAATTTTTAACTCTCCTTGAGAAGGACTTTGTTTCTTGCATAGGAAGTTTCCCATCCTAACAAACCCCATTTCCTGATCTCAAGGCTCCTCTTTATCAGTCAGTCAGGGTCAAATCCCAGCTATGCACTTACCAGATAAGTACTATTAACTTCAAGTTCTTTGAGGGTAAAGACTGAATTCATTCATTCATTTACTCATTAATTCAGTATTGAGTATCATGTAATCAATATGCTATATACTTGCTAGGTGCTAGAGAATAATGATAGTAAAACAGACCATGGATAATAACAGTTCCTTCCCTTACTGAACATATTGTTTAGTGAAAAATAAAGTAAAAGATAATGCCACAAATAAATATAAATGAATACAAACTGTCAAAAGTATCAAGAAGTAAAATCAGAGAGACTTATACAATTATAGACTTGGTCGAGTATCTAGCCCCATGCTTCACCAAGAAGAGGCACTTTGCAATGCTTATTGAAATGAGAAAATGAATTTATGTTTCACGAGACTGTCTTTTTTTCCTTTAGAGTCTATCTCAGCAGTTACAGCAGATGGAAGCTGAGCATACTACTTTAAGGAACATTGTAGAAACAGAAAAGCAGGAGTCTAAACTTCTGATAGAAAAGATGGAACTTGAGGTGGCAGAGAGAAAATTATCTTCTCATAACCTGCAGGAAGAAATACATCAGCTTCTAGAACAACTGGAGAAAGCAGGTCAAGTCCAGGCTGAACTACAGTCCAGAAACAATGCTTTGGAACAGAAGCACAATGCAGAAATGGAAGAAAAAAACTCTCATATTTTGAATCTTCAAAAGAATGAACAAGAACTGCACTCTATCTGTGATGCGCTGAAAGAAGAAAATTTAAAGCTTCTCCAAGATAAGAGTGAACAGGCAGTTCATTCAGCCCAAACCATTCAACAGTTGGAAAGTGAGTATTTGATTACTTTTGAAGTCCATTTGTCTAGCCCCTGAGTGACTCCTACTTTAAAATGTCAAGGATCTGTTAACATTGTCTGTTCAAACCAAGTGAATCAGTAGAAGGATGAAGAAAGACATTTCTGCTGAAATCTTTGTTTTATAAATTCTCCTGTTTTTGTCGGAAGTTATAACCTGGCATACTGTTGTAATTAACATTACAGCATTTAGAACTGTTGATAGTGGTATGTGAAACATGACGGTACTCTGAAAGATTCAGTGACTGCAATGAATAAGATTTGAATTAATTTATGGAGAACTCAGGCCAGAAATCAGTGCATAGGTAGGGACTCTGAATTGTATGGGGTGATCCTTGCTTTTAAAGGTTCTGAATACATTTACCCCTTAAGAAGATTTTTTTTTTTGTAGTCACCACTTTTTTTAATTTTTTTTTTAAGTAAAACAGTAAGATCTCTGTAGTACCGGATAAAAAAAATTACATAGCTAGCCAGTTATTAGAAATAAACAATTTGCTACTTTTGCTTCTATGTCAGAATTACATTTTATTAGTCTACTAAATATTCACCAATTATTGACAAATTAAAGATTTTACTTATTTAACCATTCCTTTTTGAAAATTGTTACTTTACTAATGACTAAACTTTCCGGGAAGTTCTCGGTACACCAACTACATTTTTAACCTCCACTTACAGGTATGCACTTCCTGTACTCTAACTAGGAGCTTCTTTTTACCCTTCAGAGATATTTTTGTGATCTAAATAGACTTTTTTATTGTATAACTTTATATCACTGGTTTTCCTCATGGCACTAATTATTACTTGAACATAGATTTATTTCTTCATTAACTTGTTAATCATATCTTTCCCAATTTCAACTTTTTTTTTATAATAAATTTTATTTTTATATTCCCCATACAATTGCAACCCCGTTATTTTGACCCCAATCCCTCCCCTCCTGCCCCCCATCCCCCATAGAGTGTCTCTGGTTCATAGTTTTTTGTTGATTTTGATTTTCACTTTCTTATAGTTATTCATTTTCCTGGTCCCTTATTTAAGTTTTCTAGATTCCTGCTATGAGTGAGACCATCCGGTATTTTTCTTTTTCTTTCTGGCTTATTTCGCTGAGCATGATCCCTTCCAGCGCCATCCATGTTGCTGCAAATTGCATGTGTTTATCTTTTTTGAATGCTGAGTAATATTCCATGGTGTATATGTACCACATCTTCTTGATCCAGTCATCTATTTTTGGGCATTTGGGCTGTTTCCAAAGCTTAGCTATTGTAAACAGTGCTGCTATAAACATAGGGGTGCAGGTGCTCTTTGGAATTGATGTTTCTGTGTCCTTTGGGTAAATACCTAGGAGTGGAATTGCCGGATCATATGGAAGCTCTATGTTTAATAGGTCCAGAAATCTCCACACAGCTCTCCATAGTGGTTGGACCAGTTTGCACTCCCACCAACAGTGTAGAAGAGTTCCTTTTCTCCACACCCTCGCCAACATTTGTTGTTGCTAGTTTTTTTAGTAAGTGCCATTCTCACTGGTGTAAGATGGTATCTCATGGTAGGTTTGATTTGCATTTCCCTGATTACAAGTGATGTTGAACATTTTTTCATATGTCTGTTGGCCATTTGCATTTCCTCTTCAGAGAAGTTTCTTTTTAGCTCTTCTGCCCGTTTTTTGACTGGATTATTTTCTTTGTTGTTGTTGAGTCTCATCAGCTCTTTGTAGATTTTTGTGATCAGTCCTTTATCATTAGTGTTGTGTGCAAAAATGTTCTCCCAGTTGGTGTACCCCTTAAGAAGATTTAAAGACTGCAGGGGAGGAGGAGGGAGAGAGATCAGAGGAAGGGAGGGAGGAAGGGAGGAACACAGGACTGAGGTGAATGGTGCACGGGTGCATTGGTGAAGGAAACTCTATGGGGACTACACCTGAGGAGGTGGGGGGAAGCAAATATTGTTTAAAAATGAACAATGATGTAAAAAATAAAAATTAAGAAAAAAAGAAAGATTTAAAGAAATCTTGGGCCTCCCTGGTGGTACAGGGGTTAAAGTCTCAGTGCTATCACTGAGAAAATGAATTTATGTTTCACGAGACTGTCTTTTTTTCCTTTAGAGTCTGTCTCAGCAGTTACAGCAGATGGAAGCTGAGCATACTACTTTAACGAACATTGTAGAAACAGAAAGCAGGAGTCTAAACTTCTGATAAAAAAGATGGAACTTGAGGTGGCAGAGAGAAAGCAGGTAGCTGACCCACATGTGTTGCAGCAGACCTCTCCTGTCTTGCCTGCTGCTCCCCTCAGCAGTGTATTTCAGTAGATCTCCCTGTTCTGCTCCCCACTCTATCTCTGGTGAATCCTCTCACCCCTCGCACCTCTAGCCTAGACCTCAGTTCTTGTATGCATAAATAAATAAAACAAATCTTTTAAGAAAACTTATTTTTTAGAAAAGTATTATGAGAATAACGGATGCCTCTAATTTAGTTTAATTTTAACAGATTGGCATATATTTAAAGGAAAGATTTTAGGTAGAAGCAAGCTGAAGATTGATCTGTATTGAGGAACTGACCATCATCAGAAAGCCTTGAGGAACTTTACATGGGAACAGTGTATCATGTGCTCAGGCAGTCATCTCAACAGGGGACCGTGTTCATGTTTAAAACCTTAGAAAAGCTTGCTATCGAATCTTGGTGGTTTTCATAACCGATGAAGAGTGAGTGAAAAATGCCAAATTTCTAAGGGGCAAAGGAAAAATGACTTTTTAAAAAGTCATTTTAACTAAGATAATTGAACTAGAGCATATAATGTGTTCCAACAATAATCATTCAGTAAGTTTCAGCCTTGAGACTAAGACCATTTCTATTTACTAATTTTCTTTTCCATAGATCAACTCCAGCAACAATCCAAAGAAATGAGTGAATTTCTGAATAAACCAAAACATGAAATAGCATCTCAGACGACTTCTCCAGATGTTTATAATGAGGGCACAGAGGTAATTAAATGTGCACTTCTTATGGGTCTGATCTTTTTGTCTTTGTTGTATTTGTACTTTGGTGTTCTACTGAGAGAAATTATTCAGAAAGCAAGATAAGCCTTCTATTTTTTCTACCTGTTAAATGCTTTTGGGAAGGCAGCTGCATTTGAAAGGAGTCGTGAGGTACATTAGAGTTACAGCAATGAATGACAAAATCCTAGGTAACAAGCACCATGATGCCATGAGCTTTTCTGGGTATCATGTTCTAGAAATCTGTATTGAAGACGAATTATTATTTTTAATCTTAGTCATTTTCCCCTGTTGAGAAGTCATTTTTATATTTAGTAGACTGAAATTGGTTAGTTTTAATGTACAAAATTCTGTCTAATCAAACTTAAAAGTATATTATAGAAACCATAATGCTCACATTAAATAATTAACAGTAAAAAATTAAATTGCCAAGTGGCTGCTATTGGTCAGTATATTCTCTCTTCCTTCTTAAAAATCTCTGGGAAGCTAGATTATAATTATCAGAAGGCCCCTGATTAAGCATGAATATCAGAACAAGGAGAATCAGAACAAGGAGAATTAGTTTGATGGTCTTAATTAGCTAGTGTCAAACTGGGGTAACTGGATTCATTCTTATCACTCTATTATATCCTTCCAAAATGGCAGGTACATTGACCAGAAGAGTCCCATAGCTTCATTAATACTGTGTACTGACAAAAATCTTTGCTTCCTGATTTCTAGCATATGGATTTTCCAACCTCTTCTGTTCTCAACCTTTTCCGCCAGTGTTTTGTTAAAATATCTTTCAACAATTCAAAAAAATTGAAAGAAGTTATAGTGAACACCTGTGTACTCACCATTTACCTGTGTACTCACTATTTTGCCCTTGTAAAATATCTGTCCATTTATCCATCCTTCAATTCATCTTGATTTTTATACATTTCCAGTAAGTTGTCAATACTTTTCTCTAAGTATTTCATGATACATATCACTGAGTAGATTTTTATATATTTGTTTATAGTTCTCTTTCCTGTGAAGTGGTAAGATTTATGCAACATTAAATGTGCAAACATGTAATATTCTTGAGTTTTGTCAGATGTATGCACCAAATCCCTATCAAAATATATCACCATCACCCCACAAAGTATCCACATACCCTTTTGCCGTAAATCCCAAATTTCCCCTTCAGAGATGACCAGTGTTCCAGTCCTTCTCCATACATTAGTTTTACCTGCTTTGCATCATATAAATGTAATCATACAGTAGGTGCTGTTTTGTATAAAACTTCTTTCACTCAGCATATTTTGAGATTCGTTCATGTTGTCGTATTTATCAATTTATTCTTTCATATTGCTGAGAACTCATCCATCTTATGGATATACCACTTTTTCCTTTTGCATGATGGTGCTGTAATTTCCTTTTTTGATTGATGCCTGTATTTATTGATGCTTTGACTATTATGAATTAATCTGCTATAAAAATTCTCTATAAGCATTTTGCATAGACATACATTTTCATTTATCTTCAGTAAATACAAGATGAGAAATTTCTGGGCATAGTGTAAGAATATATTTATCTTTATAAGGAATTGTGAGGTTTTTTCCCAAAGTGATTATATTATTTTATACTCCCACCTAAAATATATGAAAATTCTAGTTGCTCCACATTACCTCCAAGATTTGATATTGTTATTTTAAAACTTTTAACCTACTAGCTGTAATGGTATTTCATTGTGGTCTCAGTGTGCATTTTCCTGATGCCAAATGATGCTGAACATTTTTTCTTGAGATTCTTGACCATGTGTATATCTTCTTATCTGTTCTTATCTTCTTATCTTCTTATCATTTCCCCATTTTAAAAATTAACTTCTTTGCCTTTTTATAATATCAAATTGTAGCAATTCTTTATGTTTATTATCAGATGTTTGGTGAATATTTTTCCCACACTGTGGCTTGCTTCCTGTTCATGAGTTCTTTGTAGATCTATGATTATCAGCCCCTTGTCAAATGTATGGTGTGCAAATAATTTTTTCCCATTTAGCAGGCTGTCTTTTTGTTTTAGTTATGGTCTCTTTTGTTGTGTGGAAGCTTTTTAGTTTGATGCAGATCCAGTTGTTTATGAATTTTTTATTGTGATTACACTGAATCTATAAATTGCTTCGGGGACTATGGCCATTATAAGAACTCTGATTCTTCCAATTCATGAGCAGGGTCTATCTTTCCATTTCTTTGTGTCTCCCTCTATTTCCTTTAACAGTGTAATAGTTTTCCTTGTTAGGTGTACTCCTGCTTATGTTTTCTTCCACAGACTTTATGGTTCTAGCTTTCACAGTGAATTTTATCTGAACCTCAATAAAATTTTGTTAAGGGTAAAGGTTCTTTATTTTCTCCTATATAGATACCAATTGCTTAGCACCACTTATTTTATTTTTTTTTTAATTGAAGTAACGAACACTGGCTTATAACATCATATAGGCTTCAGGGTAATATTGCATCATTATAAATCAACATTTGTATACCTTACATTATGTCCACCAGTAAAAGTCTAATTTCATTCTCTAGCAGACAACCCATTTATCTGCTTTCCCATCCCCTTTTCCTTTTGGTAACCATTAATTTGGTTTTGTAATCTAAAAGTTTATTTTTTTTAATTTAGTTTATCTTTTAAGTGCCTCATGTAAGTGAAATCATATGGTGTTTTTCTTTCTTTATCTGACTTATTTTACTAATCATAATATCCTCTAGGTCCATCGATGTTGCTGCAAATAGCAGGATTTCATCTTTTTTTTTAGACCTGAGTTGTATTCCATTGTGTGTGTATACCACATCTTCTTTATCCAATCATCTGTTATAGAGCACTTATGTTGTTTCTATCTCTTAGCTAATGTAAATAATGACATGATGAACATGGATGGGGTCAGCACCATTTTTAGAAGAGGCTTTGTTTTTCTCATTAGATTGCTTTCATACCTTTGTTGAAAACCTATGGTTAATAGGCTATTTCTGAACTCCCTATGTTGATATATTGACCTGTTTATAATCCTTATGCATGATTCTCACGGTCTTCCTTACTATCGTTTGTAGTTAGTTTTGAAGTCGGGTAATATAAATCCTTTGACTTTGTTCTCCTTTTCAAAATTGCTTTGGTTACTCCAGGTCCTTTGCTTTTCCACAAAAATCATACATCTTTATCACATTTTAGTTAAAAAAAAAAAGCTGGATGGAATTTTGACTTAGCATTGTTTGGAATTTATAGATTAATTTGGGAGTCTTAACATCTTAGCTCTACTGAACTTCTCAATGTATCAATATCACTCTCCACTTATTTGTTTATTATTATTAAATTGTTTTGATGTGTCATTCGTTTACATAACTATTTAGTTTCAAGAGTACAGCTTCATACCTCAACATGTGCACGTGCTTCATTCACCCACCACCACAGGTCCTGTGCCACAACACTGTGATGTAAACCCTGTAATCCCACCTCCCTCTGCCGCATCTTTCCTTTCTAGTAACCACCAGGTTTTTCAGAGTCTCAGAGTTATGTCTGTTGTGTTTAGCCAGCTTGTTTCCTTTGGTTATTTGTATTCCACAAATGAGTGAAACCATTTCTTTCACTTTCTTATTTCACTTAGCATAATCACATCGATTCATATTGTTGCAAAACACATGATTTCATTTTTGTTAATAGCTAAGTAGTATTCCATTGAATATATATTCCATAATTCCTTTATCCAGTTGTCTGTCATTGGGCATTTAGGTTGGTTCCATGACTTGGCTGTTGTGAATAATGCTTCTATGAACACAGTTTATTTATTTGAAGAGTTTTGATTACTTCTCATTAACCAATAATTTGGATTCAAACCACAAATTCTGGCTGATAGTCACTCAAAACTCAGTTCAATTATTTTTGCCTTAGCTAAATTGCTTTGACACAGCCCTGTAAATGCATAGTTTATTGTTCCATCAGAAATTCAGCCTGCATTTACATATGGAATTCAGGGATCCCTCTTGTTTAATTTTTTCTTTTCCCTCCTCTCTGATTTTCCCCCTTACATTCTGGCAGCTGTATTTGTCCTAAAATGACACTCTACTTTCTTCAAGTGAGAAAGACCTGTGACTTTTCTGTTGGTGTTTTACTTACCCTTTATAATGCAAACTGAAAAGTTCCCTCAAGAAAAAAGCCGTAAAATCCTTGAATTCATTTTTTGCTGTTTCTTTGTAATCAAAATGAAGGTTTGTGGCTCAGTACTGTAAAAACCCTTACGCCTTAATGATTTTACAATTTTATGAAAATTATATAGAATACTCCTATTGGAGAAGAAAAACAAAAAAAAAAGACATAAACTAAAGATGTGGCATAAGTAGATATTTTCATGTCATCAGAAAAATAAACCTAGATACATAAATTGTGAGGGAATTTTTGTTATACTTGGAAAAAGCAAAGACAGTTACGCCTCTTTTTGCTTTCATAAGGGGTATGTATTACTGTTCTTCTTTGGAAGCCTCTCTTCATCATCAGTCTCCTTCAAGAGAGTGACTTTGTTACCCAACTAGCGTTAGTATAATTTACGTTATTTCTGAAATCGTCTTTTTGTGCCATAGACCTGAGATTTATTTGTAATCCAGGCTTTAGTCTTAAATGCAAAAGCCAAGGCACTCGAAGTTTGTGTGCAATATTTTCTCTATCTTCAGATAAAAAAACATTATGTCAAAGATTACCTTGGAAGATAAGTAGATGCTATTTTTAAACTATTTTCATGGCTGAGAAACTTCTGGAAGACAAAAATGATGGAGGCTATCTGGGCATTAGTATGAAAAATTTTCACTGGAAAATCATTAATTTGTTTGTCTTTCTATAATTTAGGCCAACATGGAGGAGAACGTTGACTTACTACAGAAGAGAGTAGTAGAATTAGAGAATGAAAATAAAGCCTTGCTTCTTAGTTCTACAGAGCTTCAGGAGCTAAAAGCTGAGAACGGTATGTGTAATGAAAACCATAATTCTCTGTCTTCTTAACTCACAAATGCCTCTACTTTTATCATTGTACACCTATAACTTGTATTCCCTACTTCAATTATAATAAAGAACTTAGTGAGCAGAGCTAGTATTTCCCAAAGACAGGATTAATAATACACAATTAGAGCACAATATCAGCATTTATATTAAGTATAGCATTTTATAGTTGGGGCTACTGATAGGGGCAGGATCTCTGTATATTCATTTTGTAGCAGAGAGTGATTCTTATCTGAAGTACGGGTTGAATCAGACCTTAAAAAAGATAGCTTTTTAAATAGGCAAGTGAATAGATAAATGATATTCCCAGTAGTATATCTGTGGGGTGAAGTAACAGAGATCAATATAAAGGCTCAAAAGTACAAGTCATTTTGATTTTTGCTTATGCTATGGAATGTTTAGAACACAATCCCTTTCTTTCAGCCTAATTCTTAGTCATCTTCAGTACTCAATTAGGGCATTTTCTTTTCCAGGAAGTCAAACGTGATTCCCCAAAACTAGGTTAATATGCACTTTGGTACTTGTGTCATATCTTTGTGTCTCTTTAACATTGTATTCAAATCTTCTGTTTATATGTTTATATTTTTCACTTTAAGCTCTTCAAAGTTAAAGTATAAGCTTTTCAAGGTTAGGGACATTTTTTTAATCTTTGCTTTACTATTCACTAAGAACTGTTGATAGTATAGTACCTTCCATATAGTGGCTACTAAATAAAACTTTGTTAGATTGAACTAAGCGTTTTGTTCTATTGGACTATGTGAATAGTTAGTAAGAATGAAGACTTTCCTCCTTTCATAATTACCTGCTTTACAAGAACTTATCAAGGACCTTATAGTTTTGGTAGCATATTGTTCACATTTTACTGATCTATTTTATGCTGCATTAACTTTCTGCTATACTTTGTCTTCTAAGAGTAATAATGAATATCAGGTAAAGTTTGTGCCATTTCTGAAACTTTAAAGCAATTATTTCTCACCGAGCCATTTTACATTTTATAGTTTTATTTAGCTTTAAACTTGGGATTCTATACCTTAGTAGATAATTCTCACTCTTGCTAATGCATAGAGATTATCTCTAATTCAGCTGATAATTCAACGCAATCAGTGCACTTTTTGGGACCTTATCCATGATGTATATTTTGCAGTTTTACAGTACCTTGTCAATTTCATGTAGCTCACTATGATTTAGAGTTGTTACATGAGTTCCGTTCTCTTTGCCCTTTTTTACAGGGCTATCTGGCCTGAAAGTTTTTTGTATTAGTTTTTGTGTCTGGTCTCGTAGGTTACCTTTGCTTGACATGTCATGTTCTATTCAGTTTACCTTCTGTGCTTCCATTTCGACCAGCAAATAATCTTGTGCCGTATCTGAACACATTATATATACTGTGTTGAATTAATTAGTTTCATGAATGTTTATTTACTAGTCAGCAAAAATCTATGATGTCTTTGCTCTGTGCAGGCACTTATCTAGCTGCTGGGAACACTTTCTGAGGTTCTCGAACTCTAGAAAGTTGTGACTACACTTGAGGGAAACATGGACCATAAGCATGTATATAGGAGCATGTATATAAATAAGGAAATTTCAGAGAGTGATCTGTATTATGGTACTAAAACAGGTTACTACAAGATTCCATGAGGGAAGAAAAAAGCAGTGTCAGAGTCATCAAGGGAGACCTCTATGAGAACTTCTGAATGATAAAAAAATCTGAATGATAAAATGTGGACAGCCATACAAAGAGCAATAAGTATTCAGAGAAGAGACAAAAAAGCAGTGTAAATACCCTGAGGTCTGAATAAGCTTTATACGTTTGCAGACAGAGAGAACACTAGTGTTTTGGGAGTACGATGAGCAAAAATGAGGCAGTGCAAAAAGGAGTGATGAGAGTGAGTGGGGTCAAATCATAAGGCCCTTTGTTAAGAAATTTGGATGTAAACAATTTTGCTTTTTACCCTTTAGTTTATCTTAGTTTCTCAGAAATAGTACTCACTCTTTGGGGGCAGATAGATACTCAGTAGTTTTATCCTCCCAGAACTGCTACCTTTTTAAAGATATCTGCATTATAATAAACATGAGATAGATCTCAGAAGACTGGTGTGTGAACCCAGTTATCTGTGAACTAGCTGTGGGTGTAGTCATTTCATTTTTTTTTTTAAAGATTTATTTATTTATACAAGAACCGGGGTATAAGAACCACCAGATGTGCGGGAGGGTGAGAGGATTCACCAGAGACAGAGCGGGAAACAGAACAGGCAGACTGACGAAATACACTGCTGAGGGGAGCAGTCTGCTGCGCCATGAATTCTCGCCGGGATTCTCAAGGCTGGGATTCCTGCAGGCCGGTGGGGATGGAACCCGAGCTGCAGAGGCTGCGGACAGCTTCACAGTGTGGCACTCAACTGCCTGAGCCACCAGGGAGGCCCCTAGTCATTTCTTTTATTTACTCATATGATCATTGAAGAGATTGGAGAACTTCCTTCTGGTGCTAAAATTTAATGTCTTAATGAACATACATAAAAGAACATTCAGGATGTTCTCAGTGCCATTTTAATGCAAGATGTGTATTATGAACACACATAGTTTTTTTTTTAAAATAATAAATTTTATTTTTATATTCCCCATACAATTGCAACCCCCCCATTCTGACCCCAATCCCTCCCCTCCCGCCCCCCCCACCCCCCAAAAAGTGTCTCTGGTTCATAGTTTTTTGTTGATTTTGATTTTCACTTTCTTATAGTTATTCATTTTCCTGGTCCCTTATTTAAGTTTTCTAGATTCCTGCTATGAGTGAGACCATCCGGTATTTTTCTTTTTCTTTCTGGCTTATTTCGCTGAGCATGATCCCTTCCAGCGCCATTCATGTTGCTGCAAATTGCATTGAACACACATAGGTTTTAAAGGGTAGGATAATAGATAAGTTAAGGGAAATTAATGCCCTGAAAATCCCAAATTATGCCACAGAATAGCTGTGTCATGTCCTATGCTTCTCATACTTAATGTCATATGCACATGTCACCCTTCTCTTTTAAAGCCCTCCACTGTTTATTAAACTTCATTCAGATAAATAGTATCACCTAATACCATTCTGACTTTTATCTCATTTTCTCATCTTGCCACCTACTTATTTCAATAAAATAAGTCTTTCATTTCCCCCAAACTATTTCATTTCTTTCTTTCCTTTCGATTATCTCATTCATCTCAAATAGCCTTACACAGAGCAATGTGTCTGTTCTATGAAACACTACATAAATGTTCTAAGAATATTTATTTGTGATTTTCAGAAAAACTATCTTCTCGGATTACTCTCCTGGAGGCTCAGAATAAACTTAGTGAGAGAGATACAGAGGTCAATGAGGTAAGTGGTTTGTTATTAAAATAATCAGAATATGAGCTGTATCAAGAGGAATTAGCTTTAAGCCTAAACATTCTCCAATTTTCTAATGTTGACAGGGAATTACAATACCCAGAAAATGAGTTATATTTAAGAAAGTCATAATGGTTATGATTTCCCGTTTACTCTAATTTTTGAAATTAGGAATTTATCCTGAACCAACACAAGTACAATAAGCATTTACTTGGGACTCGATGACCTAGTTCTCATACTGGGTTATTATTTATTTCAGCTTCTTTGTCTATTTCACAAAAAATTTTCTCAATGAAAAGACTGAATAAAATCTCTGTTTCTCTCCAGTCAACTGGCACAATTTCACTTAGGACTATATTGAAAAGGGTATCTTTGGAGAATGGTTCTTTTTACAACCTGAGAAATACTCTAAGAAATATGTGGTTGCTTAATATTCTGTTGATTTAAGATTATTGTTAACTATATTGCATGTAATCAACCATATTCTTCTAATCAAGAAGTGGTGAAGTCACTGGCCACAGAAGTATCTGCTCATTAACTGTATTAGAGTTCTTCAGCAACATAGAGCTAATGGAAAGTGTGTGTGTGTGTGTGTGTATTTGAAAGAGAGGGACACAATTATTTTAAGAATTTGGTTCACACTATTGTGGAGGCTGGTAAATTCAAAATCTACAGGGTAGGCCACCAGCAGGCTGGAGGCCCAGGAAAGAGTTGCAGTTTGAGTTGTCAGGCAATCTGCTGGTAGAATTCCCTCTGTAGGAGTTCAATCTTTTTCTTTTCTTTTTTGGTTAAGACCTTCTACTGATTGGGTGAGGCTGACCTTCCTTATGAAGGGTAATCTGCTTTTCTAAAAGTTTACTACTGTATGTCAATCTCACCTAAAAATACCTTCACAGAAACATCTACATTAAAGTTCGGCCAAGTATACGGGTACTGTAGCCTATCCTTGTTGAATAAAATTTAACCACCTCATTTATGGAGCCACTAACACTGTGTCCACAAAATTGTCAGAAGGGGGCTATTTTGAAACTTGTAGCATGATAAATACACTAACAGTAAAAGTGAATCTTGTTTGGACAGGAAGATGCTTAATGTTTTAAGCTTAGAAGTAGTATCGTAACAAAAACAAACAAACAAACAAAAAACCTTAAAAATGAGCAGATAAAGCAGGTAGGAATCTGTTAAGAAAAAGAAAAAACAACCTTAAGTGAGAACAGGGAATGAGGGAAACAAAACCATAGAAAATACAAAAGAAAGGTTGACTAACATAATATCCCTTTGGAAAAGAGGAAACAAGTAGAAAGCATCCATAGATATATAATGTTATAAACCAGTGTTACTTCAGTTAAAAAAAAGTTCTTAGCTGTAAGCACCCTTTAGCTTTAAGCTGAGCTTACAGCTGAAAGGGGAAGACCAGTATTAGAGGGTAAAGCAATGAGAATGGCTAGAAAGAGGAAAATTCTCTGGTTATCTGCCCTCTCATTATGAGATGACATTAGTTTTTCAAATGTTAATTGAACAAAAAGCTAATTGAACTCTGTAGATACTATAGGGAGCAGCAGAGGGCAAGACTACAGGAAGAGTGTATGTGAAGTGGCCTAATAATTACAAAAGAGAAAATAAGAATATCTAGGGTAAGGAAGAGGACAAAAAAAGAGTTAGTTACATTTAAAGTCTTCAGGCAGAAGTGAGGCCTTGACTATATCAGGTCTTTAATATGTGTAAGGGTGGGTAAATGGGAATGTGACATGAAGAAATAAGTGATCATTTTCCCTGTGCTAAATACAGTGCTCAGTTTTGGTTTTAGAAATTTGAGTGAGTAATGCATTGGAGAATTATAAATGATTAAAAATAATATTCATAAAAAGTGATGGGATAAATTTTCTTAATCATTTTAAAATGACTGAGATTCCAAGATCTCCAAGAGAGCAGCAGATATTGAATACTTACTAGGTGCCAGTTTCTGCTAATAAATGGCAGTGCTAAGATGTAAACTCAGATGGTCAAGCTGAAGAGCTTGACATTATTTGACAATCCTGTTTTGTTTTGTTTTTTCCCCCCTATCAAATTGGATATTTTTTTTTTTTCTGGGGAAAAAAATAGATTCTGTTGGCAAAGGTGGAAATTTTATTGTATAATTTGTTTCCAAACTCACTTAATAAAATGCTAATTAAATTTACTATGAGATTCACTGATTTTGTTTTCCAAGAAAAAAATGATAAAAATAATTTACTGAGCAGTCCAACACAAAATATCAGGTTTTAGTTATATCTTCTTATAAAAATTTTTCCTTTCTTTTTTTGAAATAGATCAGTTTGGATGATACTAGCAGACTCAATAAGAGCAATCTTCCTACTGAGGAAAGTGGACAAGATGTTCTTGAGAACGCATTTTCTCAAAAGCATAAAGAACTATCTGTTTTATTGTTGGAAATGAAAGAAGCTCAAGAGGAGATTGCGTATCTGAAGTTGCAGCTTCAAACAAAGAAAGCTTCAGGGGACCCTGAAGTCAATGACCAGAAAGAAATAAAAGAGACAGAGGCTGAAGAAATACCCCCAGTCAAAATGAAAATATTGCTTGAAAATACAGCACAACATTTCCCCCAAGTGCTAAATGAAGAAAGCAGTCTTCCAACAAGTGAGGAAGTGCAAGAGAGCATGACCCATCAAAATGGAGCATCTGAGGATACAGCTCTAAATGATTCTGCAATAGAATTGAAATTAGCAAAGCAGAATGATGCCGAGAAAGTCCCACCTCAAGTACCAGGCATTTTTCAGGATGAATTGGAAAGGCTAAAAAGTCAAATTTTGGAGCTTGAAACAAACCATAGCAAAGCAGAAGAAATCTATGAGAAAAATTTAGATGAGAAAGTGAAAGAAATAAGTCACTTAACTCAGCTGATTGAAGAGTTTAAGAAAAATGCTGAAAACACCAGAAATGAATTCACTATTTTGTCTGAAGAAAGAGACCAGCTTCTTTCTCAGGTGAAGGAACTTGGCATGATAACGAAACTAAGAACCCAGATACAACAGCTAGAAGTGAACCTGGCCGAAGTAGAAAAACAAAAAAGTGTTGACTGTGACAAACATGCTACTCAATACAACTTGCTAACTGAACAGATCCACAGCCTCAACATAGAACACAAATCTAAGGATGTGAAAATTGAAATTTTACAGAATGAACTGGATGATGTGCAGCGTCATTTCTCTGAACAGGCTACCTTGGTAAAAAGCCTGCAAAATGAGCTGCAAAAGAAGGAAAGTGAAGTGCTTGAGGGAGCAGAACGTGAGAGTGATCTCTCAAATAAGGTGGAAGAACTTTTACAGGATGTGTCACATAAGGAACTTCAAATAAGCAAAATAGAGCAACTTTTATTAGAGAAAAATAGAGATGTAGAAACCCTCCAACAAGCTATTGAAGAGAAGGATCAGCAAGTCACAGAAATTAGCTTTAGTATGACTGAGAAAATGGTACAACTTAATGAAGAAAAGTTCTCTCTTGGAGTGGAAATTAAAACTCTTAAAGAACAGCTGAATTTATTATCCAGAGCTGAAGAAGCAAAAAAAGAGCAGGTAGAAGAAAATAAAGAAATTATTTCGGGTGAATTGAGCCCAGCTGGGCTAGTAAGTAAAGAAGAACTTCAGCATGAATTAGACCTTGTAAAAAAAGAAAGTGAGCTGCGAAAAAGAAAGCTCCAGGCAGCTCTTCTTAACAGAAAAGAACTTCTGCAGAGAGTTAGTAGATTAGAAGAGGAATTGGCTAAAGTGAAAGATGAATATAGGAGTGAGAATGAGAACAGCAAAATGGATGGAGATAAAGAAAGCAAAGAAGATCCAGGAAAATGTATAGCTTCTAAGTGCCAAGAAGTAGAAATTTCTTTAAAACAGACAATATCAGAAAAAGAAGTGGAATTAGATCATGTAAGAAAGGATTTGGAAGAAAAGGTAGCAGCCGAGGAACAATTACAGGCTATGCTCAAACAGGTAAATCAAACTTTGAAAGAGAAAACCGACCAGATAGATCTGCTCCAAGGAGAAATCCTTGAAAAACAAACAGTTATCCAGAAGTTAACCATCAGTAACAAGGAAGCAGGCAATGGGAGCTCAGTAGCACCTGTAAAAGAAACAGTGGCCATCAGTCCACCAGGTACAGGTAGTGGAGAACATTGGCAGCCAGAACTAGAAGAAAAAATATCGAGCCTGGAAAAAGAAAAGGAGCAACTTCAAAAGAAGCTTGAGGAAGTGTTGACCTCTCGCAAGGTGATTCTCAAAAAAGCACAGGAAAAAGAAAAACATCTTAGGGAGGAACTGAAACAACAGAAAGATGACTATAATCGCTTGCAAGAACAGTTTGATGTGAAAAGCAAGGAAAATGAGAAGATTGGAGACCAATTAAGAGAATTTCAGGCTGAAGTAAGAGAATCTATAGATAGAAAAGTTGCAAGCACTGACCAGAAGGAGCCAGGCTTGACCACTCAAGGTTCAGAAGAACCTTTATTCAAAGCCACCGAGCAGCAACCTGCACAATCTACTTCAGAGTCTGCCATAAGCCCAGACTGGCCTCCTCATCCTGAGGATGCAAACGCTCAGCAGATTAAGGCCCAAATGAAAGAAATAGAGGCCGAGAAAGAGAAATTAGAATTGGAGATTAGTTCTACAGCAAATGAGCTAACTAAAAAATCAGAAGAGGTATTGCAGTTACGAGAGCAGGTCAGTCAACAGGGCTTAGAAATCCAGAGACTGAGTACCGCTTCCTATGAAGCTACAGCCCATGCAGAAAGCCTGAGAGAGAAATGGGAGCATTGTCAACTAGAAATCGCTGAACTGGAACATTTAAGAGAATTACAACCTGCCCTAGATGAACTGCAAAATGTCATAAGCAAAAAAGAGGAGGAGGTTAGATACCTGTCTGGGCAGCTTAGTGAGAAAGAAGCAGCCCTTATGAAAGTACAGACAGAGATAATGGAACAAGAGGATTTAATTAAGGCTCTGCACACACAGCTGGAGATACAAGGGAAAGAACATGATGAAGTGATAAAGCAGTTACAGTCGGAAATTTGTGAAGTAAATCAAAAACTACATGACAGTGAAACAAGTAAAACAAAGGAACAGATACAAAGGAAACTACAAGCTGCCCTTATCTCCAGAAAAGAGGCACTAAAAGCAAACAAAGGTCTCAAAGAGGAGTTGTCTGTGGCCCAAGAAACCATTGAACATCTCACAAAGTCTCTGGCTGATGTGGAAAGCCAAGTTTCTGCTCAAAATAAAGAAAAAGACACTTTCATAGTAAAATTAGCTCATCTTCAGGAAGAAAGAGACAAACTCATTACCGAAATGGACAGATCCTTGATGGAAAATCAGAGTCTCAGTGGCTCTTGTGAAAGTCTGAAGTTCGCTCTCGCGGGTGTAACTGAAGACAAGGAGAACTTACTGAAGGAAATGGAATCTCTGAAATGTTCCAAGATTGCGGAAAGCGCCGAGTGGCAAGAAAAACACAAGGAGTTACAAAAAGAGTATGAAATTCTTCTGCAATCCTATGAGAATGTTAGTAATGAGGCAGAAAGGATTCAGCATGTGGTCGAGACCGTGAGGCAAGAGAAGCAAGAATTGTACAGCAAGCTGCGGAGCACAGAAACAAACAGAAAAGAGACAGAAAAACAGTTGCAGGAAGCCCAAGAAGAAATGGAGGAAATGAAAGAAAAGATGCGAAAGTTTGCTAAATCCAAACAACTGAAGATTCTTGAGTTGGAAGAAGAGAATGACCAGCTGAGGGCGGAGGTCCACCCCACAGGGGGCCCGTCTGCCGATTGTGCGGAAGGCCTTCGTGCTTCCAATGCCAGCATGAAGGAGGAGTTAGATAGGATCAAAACTGAGCATGAAACCCTTTCTAAAGCGTTTGAAGCTTTAATGACTGAGAAGGACATTCTAAGTGAGGAGGTGCGAAATTTAAAGCATCAGATGGAGGATAATGTATCCAAACAAGTTAGTTATTTAGAGCCCATGGAGAAACATGACAACCAAATCACTGCCACTGAAGAGGCTACACAGCTTGGCCCCGATGAGGCTAATGAGCAAGACTACCAGAATGTGAGCACAAGGCCTGAGAATTCTGAATCAATTCTGTCAGAAAACACTATCAAGCCTGAGAGATGTGAGGATGTCAGCACTCATGATGACAGTAACAACTACGTACAGCACACTGAAGAAAGAATTGCAGAATTGGAGGAAGAAAGGTGGAAAGAAAAAGAATTTGTCCAGACTTTAGAAAAAGAGAGAAATGCTCTCCTCAATGAACTGTCTGCAAAAGATGATGAACTAAAAATGCTTCAGAAGGAGCTAGCTGAAATAAACCTGTTATATCAGCAAATCCAAGAAGAACTTACTAGAGTTACCAAGCTAAAGGAGACAGCAGAAGAAGAAAAAGATGATTTGGAAGAGAGGCTTATGAATCAATTAGCAGAACTGAATGGAAGCATTGGAAATTATCATCAAGATGTTACAGATGCACAAATGAAAAATGAGCTACTAGAATCTGAAATGCAAAACCTTAAAAAGTGTGTGAGTGAACTAGAAGAAGAAAAACAGCAGTTAGTTAAGGAGAAAACTGAGGTTGAATTAGAAATGCGAAAGGAATATTTAGAAAAAATACAAGGTGCTCAGAAAGGACCCAGCAATCAAAGTCATACAAAGGAACTTCAGGAGCTTTTAAAAGAGAAACAGCAAGAAATAAAGCAGATGCAGAAGGACTGTATCAGGTACCAAGAGAAAATTAGCGCTCTGGAGGGAACTGTTAAAGCCCTAGAATTTGTTCAAACTGAATCCCAAAAAGAATTGGAGATAACCAAAGGAAAGCTTGCTCAGGCTAATGAACACCGCAAACAGGCAGAGACAGAATTAGCTAGCTTCAAAGTATTGTTAGATGACACTCAAAGCGAAGCAGCAAGGGTCCTAGCAGACAATCTTAAATTGAAAAATGAACTTCAGTCAAATAAAGAGTCAATAAAAAGCCAAATGAAACAAAAGGATGAAGATCTTGAGCGAAGCCTCAAACAGGCAGAAGAAAAATACCTGAAAGAGAAGAAGAATATGCAAGAACAACTGGATGCTTTCTATAGAGAAAAAGCCCAGTTAGAAGAGACTTTTGGAGAGATTCAGAATACTTTGAACAAGAAAGACAAAGAAGTTAAACAGCTTCAGGAAAACTTGGATAGTACTCTGGACCAACTTGCAGCTTTCACTAAGAGCATGTCTTCCCTCCAGGATGATCACGACAGGGTGACAGATGAAGCCAAAAAATGGGAGAGGAAGTTCAGTGATGCAATTCAAACCAAAGAAGAAGAAATAAGACTGAAAGAGGAGAACTGCCATGTTCTAAAGGATCAGCTTAGGCAGATGTCCATCCATATAGAAGAGTTGAAGATTAACATTTCTAGGTAAATGAAACATAACTCCCTCCCCCTATCTTTGCAAGATAGTTGAAGGTCAAGAAAGTATTCTGTTCACTTTTAATATTATGTGACTAATTTGGCTTAAATTTCCCCAAGATATATTCTCTCTCACTTCTGATTTTTTTATTTTTTTGGTAATGACTTTATGCTACATGTATTAACATGAAAAATTCACATCTGCTTCTCTCCCCACCTTTCTAATGAGAGGCCTCTTAGATTTCACTCTCCATTTCCATTTCCACTACTTTAGTCCATATTCTTACCAAGTACTTCTAAATTATTGCCTTCGCCTTTTAAATGATCTTGTCTTTTCTGTTACTCATATTCCACATCAATTCATAGTGCTTATGCCTATTAGAAGCATTTTCTTCAAACTTCAGTTTTGTATGACTTTTCCAGCTCAATGACTATGTCCCCACTAGTTTGTACTCCTCCTCTTTTAATAGGATCCTTTTATATTCTGAGACAGGTTTCCTCATTTTCTCTCATACCAAGATTATTCTTTAAAGGGGCCAACAGACATTAGTTTGTCTGGATTGATGTAAAGCAAATAGGAGGAAGTATTACTTTTTAGTGTTCAAAACCATTTCACTAAGATAAGCAACATACTTTTGAGTTTATGATTTTTTTTCAAGATTTATTTATTCATCCATAAAAGAACCCGGGTACAGGTCAGACGTGCGGGAAGGTGAGAGGATTCACCAGAGACAGCAGGGAGCAGAACAGGCAGACTGACCAAAATACACTGCTGAGGGGAGCAGCGGGTGGGACAGGAGAGGTCTGCCGGCAGGCTGGGATCGAACCCATGCTGCAGAGGCTTCGGACAACCTCGCAGCACTGTGCTCAACCGCCTGTGCCACCAGGAGAGGCCTGGAGTTTATGATTTAAATATATGAACCCTTATGTGTACTATTGGTTTAATACAGAGCATTCTACAGAACTGATTTCTCCATAAACAAGATGAAGACCTATTCAGATTTTGGTACATGTTGTTGTATATTTTCCTTAGGCATCCTTGAAATCTTTTAATTAGTGGCCTTCTCTCTTTTTTCCAGACTTGAACATGATAAACAGATTTGGGAGTCTAAGGCCCAGACAGAGGTCCAACTTCAACAGAAAGTCTGTGATACTTTGCAGGGGGAAAACAAAGAACTTTTGTCCCAGTTGGAAGAGACTCGACAACTGTACTACAATTCGCAGACTGAATTAGCTAAGTTGGAATCAGAATTTAACATTCTCAGAGACCAGATGACTAATCTAAATGAATCTTTAGAAAAATATAAGGAAAATAAAGAAAGTTTAGAAGCAATTATAAAGCAGCAAGAGTCTGATATCCAAAATTCTAAGATCAGTTCTGAACAGCTAGAAACTGATCTTCAGGCCTCCAGACAACTGGCCAGTAAGCTGCATGAAGAAATAAATATGAAAGAGCAAAAGATTATAAACCTGCTTTCTGCCAAGGAACAGGCAATCCAAGAAGCCATTGATGAAGTTCATCATCAACATGATAAAGAAATTAAAGAATTGGAAAATTTGCTATCCCAGGAGCGAGACGAGAATGTTGTCTTAGAAGAGGAGAACAAAACAGCTCCTCACAAAACCAGTCAGCTTATAGAAATACTGAAAAACATCAAGCAGGAAAACATGCAGCAGAAAGCTCAGTTGAATTCATTTGTTAAATCCATGTCTTCTCTCCAGGATGATCGAGACCGCATAGTTGGTGACTACCAACAGCTGGAAGAAAGACACCTATCTATAATCCTGGAAAAAGATAAATTGATCCAGGATGCTGCTACGGAAAATAATAAAGTCAAGGAAGAAATTCGATGCTTGAAAGGTCATATGGATGACCTCAATGCTCAAAATGCCAAGTTAGATGCAGAACTGATCCAATATAGAGAAGACCTGAACCAAGTGATTACCAGAAAAGATTGTCAGCAAAGGCAACTCCTTGAAGCTCAGCTTCAGCAGAATAAGAAGCTGAAAAGTATGTGTGCTCAGTTAGAAGAAAAACTGAAGCAATCTGAGGAAGCAAAGGAGGATCTGCAGAGGTCTTCAGTTACCTTACAGGAGGAGAAGCAAGCTTTATCTAAAGAGATTGAGAGCTTACAAGTATCTGCATCCCAACTACAGGCCCAATTAAAAGTAAAAGAAGAAGAGATACAAAGGCTAAATACTGTGCTTTCCTCCTCTCAGAAGAGAATTGCAGAACTGGAAGAGGAATTAGTTCAAGTCCAGACAGAAGCTGCCCAGAAGATAGAGGAAATGGAAGATAAACTGAATAAAGAGTTAAAACATTTTCATCATGATGCAGGAATAATGAGAAATGAAACTGAAACAGCAGAGGAAAGAGTGGCAGAGCTCGCAAGAGATCTGGTAGAGATGGAACAGAAACTACTCACAGTCACCAAAGAAAATGAAGATCTTAAAGCACAAATCCTGTCTTTTGGAAAGTCCATGAATTCTCTTCAAAATAGTAGAGATAATGCCAATGAGAAGCTAGATGAAATGCAGAGAAAACATGATGCCAATCTGAAGGAATTGGCACAGATGAGAGAAGAACAGGGTCTCATAAACAGAGAACGAGAATCTCTTGTATCTAAGGCTGCTTTTCCCACACACTCTACTGAATGTAACTGCTTTTCTCAACTTGAGAAACTTAACCTACAGCTTTCATCCAAAGATGAGAAACTGCTTCACTTATCGTCAAAACTAGAAGATTCTTATAACAAAATGCAATCCTTTTCCAAGACAATGGCCAGTCTACAGAAGGAAAGAGATCACCTGTTAAATGAACTGGAGAAATTCCACAAATCAGTGGAAGGGAAGAAGAGATCTGCAGTCCAGCCTGCATCCAGCCAGGCTGAAGTAAAAAGCTTGAAGAAAGCTATGTCATCACTCCAAAATGACAGAGACCGACTAGTGAGTGTCTAGTTCTTGCTTGCTTATCTTCCTTTAAGAATTTTTGAACCTTTCTTTATACTAATTTTTATTTCTATAGAAAAGAGTAAACAAATTCTTAATATATTGCCTGGGCACTTGGAGGCGGTATTATATATTCCGCAGACTCTGTTTGGTCTTAAAAACGTAGAAACATTATTTAAATTACTCTTAGCCTGCCGTTACCATGTTTTAAAAAATTACAAGTTGCCTTTGCATAGAGTTTCCCGCTAGTTATAAAAAGACAAAAAGATGGAGAGCTGTTTTGTTCGTATTTTTTATATACACATGCACATAAGTGTTTCCAGAAGTTGTTATAGTTAAATTGAAAACATAGGGACAACACACTGCCTTCATAGTAGTGTTCAGTAATAGCTCATCTGGTAGAATTAGGGATAGAGTGGATTCAGCTTGTCTCCTAATTTGTCAAATGTAAGTTAACTTTTAAATTTAAAGAAATTAACTTTTCTAAGGTTTTATTTATAGACTGAACCATTTACTCACTCTCCTTTAATGCCCAACTCTTTTTCACTTCTATTTTTTTTTTTTTAAAGATTTATTTATTTATACAAGAACTGGGGTACAGGCCAGATATGCAGGATGGTGAGAGGATTCACCAGAGACAGAGTGGGGAACAGAACAGGCAGATTGCTGAAGTATACTGCTGAGGGGAGCAGTGGGGAGTCAGGAGAGGTCTGCTGCGCCATGTTGTATTCTCGCTGGCCAGCAGGGATCAAACCAGCGTGCAGAGGCTGCAGACAATTTCACAGCGCTGCGCTCAACCGCCTGTGCCACCAAGAAGCCCCCAACTCTTTTTCAGAGAGAAGGATAAGGAGACTCCACTGCTAAAAATTTTGCTGCTTTTAGTAGGATACAGCACTTTCATCTAGGTCTCTTTGTCCTGAAAACTTCTAGGTCATCAAGATTCGGAGGCAAAAACTAGAACTACGTAACTGAGGTGGTCAGGAGATTCTACTTTGTGACATTACTATCTTCAGTTTTCCTAACAGTCACAATTTATTAAGGCCTGTACTTAGATCAAACCGGATATAAATTGAACTTCAAAAGTCTGAATTTTTCATTTTAAAATTATCTTTTTCATGCTCAGGCACTGAAAATTCCAGTTTTTATGGTAACTCTAGTAAAAAAAGATCATTTCTCCTAATTCCCTTTCTTTGTAGGCAATGTGTTAATTTTTCTTATACTTAATATCTAATATTTAGAGATAATCTCTTCCCTTTTTGTAATCTGAGCAGAAACCCCCTCCCTTTTCAGCTATATTTTTGATCAGCTTAATTTATCCTTATTTGCTTATAATTCTAAAATAGTTTGATTTCAGCTGACTTTGTCTTAGAAGCTTGGCCTTTTGTTGTGCCTTTCAGAATGTACATGCAAAGGTTTTTATCAGGGTAGTATACATCTCAAAGTGTAACTTATGGCACCCTGGTGCTGATTCTGTTCTAAATCAAAATCTTTTTCCTGGTGGCTGTTAGAATAGATTCTGAATTAACTATGTTTCTTTCAGCAAACACTATGAACTTCAACTTTCTTTCTCTTAATTCTAATTCCGCATTTTTGTTTATGAGTATTTGCAAGCCAAGCTAGCTTTTAAAAAAATTTCCATTTTCCTCTAACTCATGGTCATATTCTTCTGTTTCCTAGGACTCATAATGATCTATGATTTTATTTCATTTAGCCATCAAGGTCTATCATTTCTTTATGCACAGTATTCCTCAAATCTTTTTTACCTTTCCATCAACATCTCAAGATAAGTTCTTAACACTTTACCCTTAAACTGTTATAGTATTGCTGCTAACGGTTTGTCACCTCTTTAGTACACTTTATATGCCATTGCTGAATGAATCTTTCTGAAATGCTGATTTCTTCTTTTTTTTTTTATATAGTTTTTTGTTGATTTTAATTTTCACTTTCTTAGTTATTCATTTTCCTGGTCCCTTATTTAAGTTTTCTAGATTCCTGCTATGAGTGACACTATCCGGTATTTTTCTTTTTCTTTCTGGCTTATTTCGCTGAGCATGATCCCTTCCAGCGCCATCCATGTTGCTGCAAATTGCATGTGTTTATCTTTATTTATTTATTTATTTATTTATTTTTTTAGTAATAAATTTTATTTTTATATTCCCCATATAATTGCAACCCCCCCATTCTGACCCCAATCCCTCCCCTCCCGCCAAAAAGTGTCTCTGGTTCATAGTTTTTTGTTGATTTTGATTTTCACTTTCTTATAGTTATTCATTTTCCTGGTCCCTTATTTAAGTTTTCTAGATTCCTGCTATGAGTGAGACCATCCGGTATTTTTCTTTTTCTTTTTGGCTTATTTCACTGAGCATGATCCCTTCCAGTGCCATCCATGTTGCTGCAAATTGCATGTGTTTATCTTTTTTGAATGCTGAGTAATATTCCATGGTATATATGTACCACATCTTCTTGATCCAGTCATCTATTTTTGGGCATTTGGTCTGTTTCCAAAGCTTAGCTATTGTAAACAGTGCTGCTATAAACATAGGTGTGCAGGTGCTCTTTGGAATTGATGTTTCTGTGTCCTTTGGGTAAATAGCTAGGAGTGGAATTGCTGGATCATATGGAAGCTCTATGTTTAGTAGGTCCAGAAATCTCCACACAGCTCTCCATAGTGGTTGGACCAGTTTGCACTCCCACCAACAGTGCAGAAGAGATCCTTTTTCTCCACACACCCTCGCCAACATTTGTTGTTGCTAGTTTTTTTAATATGTGCCATTCTCACTGGTGTAAGATGGTATCTCATGGTAGTTTTGATTTGCATTTCCCTGATTACAAGTGATGTTGAACATTTTTTCATATGCCTGTTGGCCATTTGCATTTCCTTTTCAGAGAAGTTTCTTTTTAGCTCTTCTGCCCATTTTTTGACTGGGTTATTTTCTTTGTTGTTGTTGAGTCTCATCAGCTCTTTGCAGATTTTTGTGATCAGTCCTTTATCATTAGTGTTGGGTGCAAAAATGTTCTCCCAGTTGGTGGGGTTTCTCTTTGTTTTTGTTATTGTCTCTTTTGCTGTGCAGAAGCTCTTTAATTTGATGTAGTCCCAGCTGTTTATCTTTGCCTTCACTATCACTGCTTTGGGTGATGTATCTGTAAAGATGTCTTTGATGTGCAAATCACGTAGTGTTTCGCCTATATGAAATGCTGATTTCTTATTATGGCACTACTCAAACCTTTAAAAGTTGTACTATCTCTGGAATAGGCTTAGGATTCAAACCTCTTAGTCTGGCATGTAAGACACTATCATTTGTCCTTACTTTATTGGCCAGCCTTTCCTTTCACTGCTCCCCAAGATTCTACTCTTCCTTCCAGCCGAACTGATGTGTTCATTTTGCAATAATTATATGTAGTACTTCCTACTTACCCCCATTACCATTCTCTCAGCCAAAATGTCATCTGACGTGATTTTATTTTGGATCTGAGTATTTCCTACTCCTTTCAAGTTCACCCCAGAGCTCAAATCCTCTGGCTACATTGTCAGAGGATTTTCTGTTGCCTTTGTTTATATTTCCCTAGTATTTTCATTTGTCCCATATTGATATATGTTTATATCTGTTGGTGATATGCACGTATGTGCACACTTATGCTTATGTATGTTTAATTTCTATACACTATTTTTTATTTTCTGAATTAGATCACTAACTCCTGCAATGTAGGTGTCATTTCTTATACTTGTTTGTATTTTCCTTTCTATTTAGTATAGAAGTAACTAATCATGTGTCAGATAATCAACAGTTGGTGATCATTATTTTTATATTTGTTGTTATTACTGAAAATACCATTTTCCCCATCTTGTAAAACTGTCATATCAGGGAGTTACTGGGAACTGTTAAGACTGAGGCTTTTACATTTGTGACAAAGAATTATAAAGCCTAGGTAGAGTTATAAATCACACGAAGGCCTCACCTAGTGACACTACACACATGGTCCACGCAGTCTCTGTAGCCCTTCTGCATATTTGCTGAATGTATTGCTGCATATTTGCTGAATGTGTTGCTAAGTGCCCCTCAATTTTTGCACATATTTTTTTCTCAGTCTGTTTCATGAACTTCTGGTTTTTCATCTCTCAACCACTGGCTACATGTACAATAAGTAAGGGAGAGATCTTATTTCATGACTATCAGTTTAATTGTTCAGCCCAGGTCAGCAGTTTATCAGCTCTGCCTATGCTGAGCTTTCTTTCCCTGAGATCCACCCCAGAGATGATTTAGATTTGAAAGGGACGTTAAGTTACTTTGATCCTTTTCTTTACTTCATCAAGGGAAGCTCCCCAAGTCAAGTGTAATAGTCTAAGTGGTGGGAAATTAACCCACAAACTAAGCTCTAAAAACATTCATGTTTATCCAGACTGCCTTAGGACTTTCTCATAATCAGATGAAGCACTTAGATGATTCCAGCCTAAAGGTCTTCAGAAGTACCTGTGTTTATTTATTTACATTCACTTGGTTCTCAAAATTACTTCAGTACCATGTAAAGATTTGAACAGTTTTTCAAGATAATATAATACAAAGAACTGGGAAGGAAGAGATGATGGGGACAGGAGAGAAAAAGATTAAACCAGGATTAAAGTTTTTGTCCCAAAGAGATGTTACAGTATCCTCTGAAAGATGGGCCACCAATTTTGCTCTGAGCTTTCTGGCAACCATCAGAAATAGGAACTTAAAGAATCATGTGCATGGATTACAGTGTCCATGTTTTAGGAAAAAGGAAGAAAGAAAGAGCACATTTTCAATGTATAACCCATTCTCCTGATGTAAATTAATTTTTATTTTGGCTAAATCAAAATTCTGTGCTTACATTTTTATGACTACAAATGTTATTAGTTCTGAAAAATGCTTCTTTTGTTCTCCTAAACATCATCATATTTTCTAGTTAATCACTGTGCTTTTATTGTTGATGTTGTTACATACTTAGCTTGCTTTGTACTTTGTGGTATAACTTAACCCAAGATTTACTGCCATCCTTATACATCTCTCAAGATGCTTATTCCTGTCAGTTTCATCTTCATGAACAAAATTCAGCCAGGATTTCTGACTTGTTCTTATGTGAACCAAGTTGCCTTGTCCTAGAAAAGAATGTTCATCCTAGGATATTGCTCTTTTCTCCTGTGCTAGATTGATCAGTTTCTTATATTCCATGTCTTCCTCATCTTGGTTTTGTGGTCATCATGGAAAGGAATAAATCATTCACTAACTTCCCAAGCAAAGATACTTGGGAAGTAAATTTATGAAATTCTGTTTTTATTTCTCATACCTAACTGATAGTTTGGGATGACATAGAAGTGTGGGCTAAAAATAGTTTCCTTTCAAAATTGCAAAATCATCTGTTGCCTTTTAACTTGTATGTGGCTCAGAAGTCCACAGCTATTCTGATCCTAATCCATTGTACGTGATCTTTTTCTCTTTCCTTCTTTTATCTTTTTCGGGAAATTTTAGTTCTGAATTTTCCAAAAATTAAAAGAGCTTTGAAATTTCATGATGATAAACTTCAGGCCTATTTTTATTCATCATCTGGTAGTACTTTGAATCCTTAGATGTCATACTCATCACTTCAGGGCAATTCCTTTGAATTATGTATTGCCACTTTCCCCTATCCTTTTTCTCAGTTGTCTTTTTTTCTGAAAATACTGTTAATTAAATGTAGGACTTTGGGATTAGTTCTACAATTTTCTTAATTTTTCTATTCTTTTTGGGAAGGTATGAGAAAATTTTCTCACCATATTTTTTATTGTAGCTATCATGTTCCTAGTTTCTTTTTATTATTTTTTTATATCCTTGTTCATTTTTAAACAATATTTCCTTCCCCCTCCCCCTCAGGTATAGTCCCCATAGAGTTTCCTTCACCAATGCACCCGTGCACCATCACCTCAGTCACCTGTGCTCCTCCCTCCCTCCCTCTGATCCCTCTCCCTCCTCCTCCCCTGCAGGATGTCTCTGATTTATAATTGAATGTTTTTGCTTTGTTGTGTTTTGTACTGTTATTATTTTTTTACACTGATGTGTTATTTGGTTCCCCTATATTCCTGCTATAAATGAAACCATCTAATATTTTTCTTTTTCCTTCTGGCTTATTTCACTGAACATAATTCCTACTAGTTCCATCCACGTTGCTGTGAACAGCATGATTTTAACTTTTTTGATTGCTGAATAATTTTCCATTGTGTGTATATATTTACCACATCTTCTTGATCCAGTCATCTATTTTTGGGCATTTGGGTTGTTTCCAGGTTTTACCTATTGTAAATAGTGTTGCAATAAACATAGGGGTACAGGTGGTCTTTTGAATCAATGTTTTTGTGTCCTTGGGTAGATCCCTAGGAGTGGAATTGCCAGGTCATATGTAGCTCCATTTTTAGTAGACTGAAGAACCTCCAGACAGCTTTCCATAGTGGTTGGACCAGTTTGCACTCCCACCAGCAATGTAGAAGAGAGTTCCTTTTTCACCACATCCTCGCCAGCATTTGTTGATACTTGTTTTTTTTGATATATGCCATTCTTACTGGTGTAAGGTGGTATCTCAATGTGGTTTTGATTTGCACTTCTCTGATTATAAGGGATGTTGTATGTTCCTAACTTCTAAAGATCTCTTTTTGTTCCCCCCATGTCCCATGGATGTATGTTCTTCTTGCTCCAGGAGTAGTGTTGGTAGTTTTATACCATGAGCTTTTCTTTTTAACTTTTTATTTCTGCTATGCTTTTTCTATTTCCAATATTCTCTTAAATATTTCAATATATTACATCTTTTTACTCTGTTAATCTCTTCCATGTTACTTTTTCTCTAGTTCCTTTTCACCTGTCTTAATATTATCCATTCTTCATGTGAGGGTTAATCCTTGGTATACTCTTCATGTTAAAGATAGGGTCTAAGAAGCTTGTGGGTGGGATGTTTCATTGCAGGATGATCTTGCTGAGCGTTTTGTGGGTAGTTCCCAAGTTTGTATCTTTAGTCTCTCTTGACCTGGTCATATTATCCAACGAAGACTTCTTATTTCCTTTGCAGAAGATAAAATGTCTGTGTGCCAGCACTCCCCATGCCAAGTAAGGGAAAGACTTCAAACATTCAGAAAGCATACATTCACTTGATCAGCCTTATTCTAGAGCAGTACCATTAACCTTCAGCTGAAACCTGGTTAGTGTTCCATAGTCCAGAAACACTTCTTTTACCTTTTCCAGAGAAAAAACCTCTAGTTGTCTGTCAGGGTAACAAAAAGTGCGGAACTGAAGAGGGTACTTACGGATGCAATCATTTCTTAAGTAGCTTTTATTTAATCTTCCTTATTTCAGCTACCACTTCCTCCCTACCCCCATTACCATCTTTTCCAGAGGTACCTGGTGCTGTTAATTCCTGAGCCTTTTTGAAGATTCTGCAGAGTAAGTTTTATTGGTTCTTGACTTTTCCTACTGCCAGCTTCACCAGATTTGGCTTTCCCAGATCTGTTAAGTCAGTTACCACTTACGCATCTGCTTTTCAGCTTCCAAAATTAATTTTGTTGCTGCTGACTCCTCTCCTGTTCTTTCTGTTCTTGTGTTTTATGCTTAAAAAGAATGCCTTCATTGTAGCTTTATGATTCAGCTTTATGAAACATTCAGAAAAGATGTGTATTTCAAGGCACCTCTCTGCCCAGATGTCCTGACATTATTTCTTGCTACCAAGCTTTTTTAATGAGTATTGAGGATAGTTTGCAGATGTGTCTAAAATGTAGACAGGCAGTTTTGCTAACTAAATCGAGTCTGTCATTATAGTGTCATCACCACTAACTTTATATGTTTTTAATTTTCTCATTTGATTCTCATAATATTATGAAAGATAGTATAATTATATTCATTATATAGGTGAGGAAAATAAAGGTTTAGAGAGTGTAGAGAACATGTGTAAGGTCACATAACTTATGTGGACAGGATATCTGATTCTGAAGCCAAAGTCCTCTTAACTGCTGGGTCTGGACATCACAGTTTTCTTTATAGTCAACATAAGCTAAACTAGAGTTGAGCTTGAAATCCATTTAAGAAAGTTTAGAGCCTAAACTTTGGACATGGCTAAGTAGAAAGCCAACCCACCTTTACACATCTTGTTCTAGGGAGTTACCACTGACAAAGAAGCCAGAGACTTCTTAAGTGCACCCCATGTCAGAGTTGTAGATCTAGCATCTACAGGAATTTAGAAAACCTAAAAAGGGATCAGGAAAAAGACTAATTATAATAAAGTAAAAATCAAAATCAACAAGCAACTATAAACCAGAGACATACTATGGGGGTGGTAGGGAGGGATTAGGGTCAAAATAAGGGAGGTGAGAATTGTATGAGGCATATAACCAAGATGAAAATGCATACATTGTACAAAAATGTAAAATGATGTAAAAAATATATAAAATAAAATTTTAAAAAAAGAGCTAAGGGGAAACAGGTAAAAAAAAAAAAAAGCTAGGGAACAAGGATGGAAGTTGCAGAATGGTTAGCCCTCGAGCCTTGATGGCAGCTCTGGGAGGGGATCCCCTCCAATTTGGTTGCATGTATTTCACCATTTTAGAGACCAATGCTGCAGTGATCTGTCAATGGGCTGTCAGGTGCTGGTAGTCTGTCATGGTGTCTAACTTAGGGAGCCGCTGATGACTTGCAACTGGATGAATGAGGTGAGATGAATCACCCTTATCCTTTCTGTTTGGTTAAAGCTGAAAGAATTAAAGAATCTGCAGCAGCAGTACTTACTGATTAACCAAGAGATCACTGAATTACGTCCACTGAAAGCTCAACTTCAGGAATATCAAGATAAAACAAAATCATTTCAGATTATGCAAGAAGAGCTCAGACAAGAAAACCTCTCTTGGAAACATGAGCTGCATCAGCTCAGGTATGATAAAACCCTGCTCTTCAATCCTTTTCATTTTCATTCTTTTTTTTACTCTTTTTATTATGAAATAATTAGACTTAAAGAAAGTTGCAAAAATAGTACTGAGAATTCCTATGTGTTCTTCACTGAGTGTCCTCCTATGATAACATCTTACATAATTATATATCAAAATCAGGAAATTGATAGTGATACGATTCAAAGGCCTTATTCAGATGACACCAATTTTGCATTTATTCAGATATGTTGTGTATGTAGTTCTTTGTAATTTTATCTGCTGTATAGATTCATATACCCACCACCTCATGCAAAATATGGAACTGCTCCATCACCACAAATATAGCCCTTGTGCTACTAGTTGATAATCACGCTTTTCCCTTCCCATCCCTGCATCCCTAACCTCTGACAACTGCTAATCTGTTTTCTATTTCTTTATTGTTTGATGAGAATGCTTTATAAGTAGAATCATACAATATATAACCTTCTGAGCTTCTATATATGTCTCCTTGAGACATCATCATTGTTGCCTGTATTAGTTCATTCTTATTTATTGGAGCAAAATCATATTCCATGGTATGGATGTACTCCATTCACCCATTGAAGAAAATTAGGATTTTTTTCTAATTTTTAGCTATTGGATATCTGTTATGAACACTTGTGTATAGATTTTTAAGTGAACAATAAATTTTCATTTCTCTGAGATAGTTGCCCAGGAGTGCAAATGCTAGACTGTATGGTAAGTATGTGTTTAATTTTTCAAGAAACTGCAAAAATATATTCCAGAATGACTATACGGTTTTATATTCCTACCCAGCAATATATGTATGATCCAGTTTCAATATCAAATGCTGCATTCTTGTCAGCATTTGATATTATAAGTATATTTTAGTTTTTTATTGGTGTATAATATCATCCCATTATGGTTTAGTGTGCATAATGGCTAATAAATATTAACATCTTTTTTATGTGTTTGACATCTGTATATCCTTTATGATGAAATGTTTGTTCATATGTTTTATCCACTTCCTTTTTTAAAAAAGATTTATTTATTTATACATACAAGAGCTGGGGTGTAGGCCAGAAGTGTGGGGGTGAGAGGAGTCACTGGAGACAGAGTGGGGAACAGAACAGGCGGATTGACTGAAATACACTGCTGAGGGGAGCAGTGGATGAGACAGGAAAGGTCTGCTGTGCCACGTGGGTCACCTCCCTGGCTGGAGATTGAACTCGTGCTGCAGTAGCTACAGATTGCTTCACAGTGCTGATGCTTTGCGCCACCAGGGAGGCCCCTTATCCATTTCCTAACTGTGTTGTTGATTTTGAGTTTTGAGAGTCATTTATACATTAGTTACAAGTTCTTTGTCAGATATTGGTTTGCAAAAATAGTCTTTAGCTTATTTTTTCATCCTTCTCAACAAGTTTTTTTTAAATTTTGATTAAATCCAACTTGTGTTTTTCTTTATTCAGATTCAGTTACTTCTATTGTTCTATCTTCAAGTCACTGATAATTTTTTCTATCACCTCTTTCTGCTGTTGTGTCTATTGAGTTAGCTTTTTAGTTTGAATGTTATACTTCTCAGTTCTAAAATTTCCATTCAGTTCTTCTTTATGTATTCTATTTCATTGCTGAGGCTTTCTGTGGTTTCATTTCTTTCCAGTGTGTTAGTAATTGCCTATTGAATCATTTCTATCATTTCTTTAAAATCTTTCATGTATAATTTCAACATCTTGTCATTTTGGTGTTGTAATTTGTGGATTTTCTTTTTTTCAATCAAGTTGCATTTTTGTAGTTTCTTGAAAAATTAAACACATACTTACCATACAACCGAGCATTTGCACTCCTGGGCAGTTATCGCAGAGAGATGAAAATTTATTGTTCACATAAAAATGTATACATAAGTGGGATATGTGGTGTTAATAAAGAAAAACCAGTGAATTCACTGCCATGTCATTCATCAAGTCCTGAGCCCCCTAGCTCGATCCACCTTCTCCCCATCTTTCTAAGCCTAAGTCTTCTTACATTTGTTTTTTTTTATAATTCCCAGGGGCTTTATCTATATTTATTGGCCACTTGACTGAATTCAGGGAATAAATAAAAATATGAGCAGTTAATATTTATTAAGTGATGGCAGTGTATCAGGCTCTGTGTTTGGTACATGTCAGATAGTATTTCATTTAATCGTCACAATAATCCTAAAGAGTAATTGTTTATTCCCATTTTACAAATGAGTATCAGAGAGATTGAGTAACCATCACTCAGGGTCTCACACATAGTGTGTAGCAGAGCCAGCAGTAGAATCTGTGCCCTTTCAGACTTTGCAGCTGCATTTTTGTAACTAATGTTATATTGTTTCATGCCTCTGCCTTTATGAAGAATTACAGTGGTTTCCCATTACTGCCAGAGTAAGCTATTTAACATGATAGTCAATGCTGCATATGATCTGACCTCTTTACTTTCCATCCCAGTCTGTCCATTCTCCACACCGCCTACTATAACATTTCTGAAATAGACTGTATACATTCTTGTGTCTTTTGCTCAGTTTGTTCTCTGAACCTGGAATGCTTTTTCTGATGTGGAAACCTGACTCATTGTTCAGTGTTTACACCAAACGCTTGCTTTGCCATGAAAATGGTGTTGTCTTATCAGTTGAAATACTTCTGCTTGATCATCATATAAATTTTACCCTGGATGTATTTTACTGTATGTCCATCTCACAATACTATTTTGAATATAGAATTACTGTTTTTTGTCTCACCAGTATACTTTTGTCTGTGATTATTTCATGTTTTTTCTAGGATGGAGAAAAATGCCTGGGAAGTTCATGAGAGGAGAATTAAGGACCAGTACCTTATGGCTCTTTCAGAAAAAGAGCGGCAGCTTTGTCACCTGCAAAACCTGCTGAGGGAATGGAGACCTCCTTCCTCCCAGACTGAGACTCTCAACGAGCAATACCAAACACAGGTAAGTAATGTCAGTGTTGATTGCTGCTCGAAGATCACCACCACCCAGGAAGCAGCAGCTTCCTCCAAGCTAAGTGTCCACTTCCCATCTTATAACTTCCTATGAGGTGGCTCGTGTTTTTGGAGGGAAGGATGTAAGCATAAACGATCTTAACAGAGAAATTCATCAGTGCTTGTATCCTGCAGGCTTCTTCAGAAACAACTTCTGTAGATGGGTCACAAGATCTCGTTTGTGAGACTGAAGTTCTTAGAAATCAACTCAATGATGCTTTAAAGGAAATTCACCAAAAGGATTTAAGAATTCAGCAGCTAAACAACAAGGTGAGTTTCTTCAGCTAGACTAACTTTTGATTGCTTGTTTCCTCAACTGGAAATAAGAAGGGAAGAGTCCTAGCTTCTGTTATGTAAACATTGGTTCGAAGAATGTTTATACAAACATTAACTCAGAATGCGTATAAAAAAGGATGTTCTTTGATTGAAATGTATAGTCAGGTTCTTTTCATGTAATGTATATAGTCCTGTAGTAAGTACTTTGGAGAGACATCTTTGTGGTGGTTTATGTATCTGTTGTTAGCCATAACTAGAACCTCAAACTTGACAGCCTGCAAGTGTAGAATTATAATTCTAGGGAACCAAATTCAAATCAATGGGCAAGTTTTTCTTTCATTATAAAAATAATTTCCTCTTTTTGAAATGGTGAAAAGTTGGGCTGTTTTATCAAGTAGCAAGTACCCCTGATACTACCCATGTTCAAGGAAAGAATGAATAACTACCTGTTATTCATGTAGTAGAAGAAAGGTCTGCTTTGAGTGACTGAAATGTTTCTACCTGTGAGAGTCTGTGCTTCCAATATAGCTTCTCACATGTACATCAGCATATTAGGATGTATTTTGTTTCTCCTTCCTGTCTCTTATTTTTTTTAAGGATTTATTTTTTTATTTATGCATATAAGAACTGGGGTACAGGCCAGAGGTGTGTGTGGGGGTGGTGAGAGGATTCACCAGAGACAGAGTTGGGAACAGAATAGGCAAATTGACTGAAATACACTGCTGAGGGGAGCCGGCAGGAGAGACAGGAAAGGTCTGGTCCGCCATATGGATTAGCTCCCTGGCCAGGGATCAAACTCATGCTGCAGTGGCTGCTGATAGCTTCATAGTGCTGAGACTAAACTCCTTGCACCACCAGGGAGGCCCACTCCCGCCTGTCTCTTACCCTGCTTTTTGGGGAACTTGTAATATTGCACAAATTTCAGGTGACATCTCTATCTCCACTCACCTCAAACTTTGTCGATTAAGTCATTTCTTAGTAACATCAACTTGGACCCACACTACAGCCTTTCTCCTGAAACAGCCTGACTTATTCGTTTGTAGATTTCTACTTCCTGGCTTTTCAGTTAATGTACTAGTCACCATCAAGTTTCCCTGCTATTCCACCGAAATTATTTTCCTTTCTCAGTCAAAAAATCCTGATTTTTCTCACTTTGAAGGAATACACAGTGCTGTTGTTGCCATTATTGAACTAAAGATATTTCATAATACCTTTGCCTAAAAAATTGGGTTCATAATGATCTAATAAAATTTGATCCTTAAAACTCAGGACAGTTAGCATAAGCATTGCTTATAATTAAACAGTCCTGTGTTACAGTGCTTATCTTCTCTCCATTTCAGTTTTCTCAGCTATTAGAAGAGAAAAATACTCTTTCTGTTCAGCTTGGTGATACCAGTCAGAGTCTTCGTGAGAACCAACAGCACTACAGTAACCTTTCTAATCACTGTGCAGCTTTGGAGAGGCGTGTTCAAGAGCTGCAAGTGGTAAGAGGAAGGGAAAAGTATTAAAAAAATAAGTGCAATGATAAAGCATAAAAAGACGCACTGAAGAAACTGATGTGTTCAGGCTAAAGATTACTTAGGTGTGATGGAAGAAAGTGGGAAGAAGAGGAGAGTATGAATAGAGATGGGAATATTTTCTGGGAAAAATTAAAGGAATTACAAGAAAATAAAGATCAGTGAGAGATGGTGGGAAAGGAATCAAAAAGTCAGTGGGGGACCATGATTACTGAGGCTTTGGGAACTCTGAAACTAAGAGAATTTAAATTTTGCTTTAAGAAATAAGAAAACTGTAGGAAGATTTTGACCTGAGGAACAGAATCAGCATAGTTATTGACTGTAGTGGAAAGGAATGCACCTTCAAAGTTGAAGGACCCTGGGACCTAGTATGGAGACAAATAGGACATGGACAGGAGAAGGGGGGTTAGGAGAGGTTGTAGATTAGAGAAAGATCAGAGTAGTGTGGACAGCGCATGAGCCTCCACTAAAAGAAAGCAGGTCAGTGGTAAGCCTTTTAAACTTTCAAGAGGAGAGATTGAAAAAATGAGAATCTGGGAGAAAAGGTCCTTAAAAGTTTTACTGTAGGACAAAAAAATCTATTAGAGCAGGAGTGTCTCACGTCTAAATCTGTAGTTGAAGAGAATTATAAATGGAGGTATTCCTCTCCAAGATATCTCATTCTCTCCAGTGTTAAACAAGTCCTCATTTTGCCCAAGTGTAGTTACTTAAGCATTTTCATCATTGAATTACTAAACTTATTCTTCCAGGCATCCCAGACTACAGATGATACTCACAGGAAAAATAATAATGGAGATCTGAAGGAACCACAGCTCAGGTGGGGAGCACCTCTCAACCTTGTAGTGTGCGTAGCATATTCAGAATTTGGGCAGCCTTCTAGACTACCTGCAGTTTGTTGTATGCATTCATTGTGTCTTGCTATCATAGTGTCCTCAGATTCAATGTGAAGATTATATACTAACAAATATAATAACAAATTATTTGTGAAAAATTTGTAAAGCAAAACCAGCAACACCACAATAACACCACAATAACACACAATAAGCCTATGGGATTCAAATGAAAGCTATCCAGTGAATCCCTAAAATTTCTTAAGGCATTTTCTGCAGGTTTATTTAATTTATCTCTAGCTATGCTTTAAAAATATTCCTTTGTGTTTGTACCAGCCCCTATAAATTTTCGTGCTTTATAACCTCATAAAAACCTTGAGTCTCTTGTGTCAGCAACTGTGTTCTGCCTCTAGTGATGACGTTTGTTTCCCTTTTGTCCTGAAGTGTTTCTGAAGCTCACCATCAATTGAGCAACATTCAACAAGAGGTAAACGAATTGAGGAAGCAGATGGAAGAAGAACAAGACCGAAGATTGGCTGCTGAGTCTGCCCTGTCCGCAGCGGAGGAGCAGATCCAGCGGTGAGGGGCTAAGGGAGCAGGCCTCTGTTCACTTCTCATCCTTTTTCTTCATACTCGTGAGCACTGCAGTTCCCAGACATGAGAATATTTAGCATCTTATTCTGATCCTGAAATGGGTACTGCAATGAGTTTAGGTCATTGTAGCCAGCCAAAAAAAAAACTTTATACTTGGGGGATCTAGGAGGCCTGTATTTTCATGTGGGATGGAATATGCCATTGTTCACATCCCAATAATAACTACTCATGTGATCTTTAGAAGGCCAGATCAATGACAACCCTATACCTTATCTGAGGTCTGAAATCAATTGACATTTTCTTTTAAAGATGAAAACATTGGGAGATTAAAATCCCACATTTTAAAGCTGATTTAAAAGGATGTAGCTTTCCATTTGTTGGCAAATGCACTTCCTAGCTCTCAACTTCCCCTCCCACTCACAGACAGTATTGAGCCAAGGTAGGCTTTCCTAGCAGAAAGACCTCATTCTTGTAAAATTGAACATAGTGTAACAGCAAGTTGTGCTTCTCGTGGGAGTTTGCACCAAGTGTGACTTGGAAAGACAGAACTATAAATCCCTATTTCCTTAGTCCCAGCTCACCAGTCAAGAGAATCCCTATGTGAGAGAGAGGAGAGGAGGTGGAGGTTATTGCTGCTGGGTGGCTCTTTCCAGAGAAAGCAATGTCAAAAGCAGACATTTTTACTAGATCTAAGGGAAAGCACCTTGTATATTGTTTCTTCCCTCAGAGAGTGGCACTGATGACACTAATGCCTTCTTGCAGAATTCACATGGCTGAGATGGCAACCCCAGTGACCAGGCCTTATTTAATTATCGTTCCTTCCCATCCAGCAGTCAGAACTTCTTCATTTCCATCACTCACTTGAGCCTTGGAATGCGACTTTGAAGATGGACTCTGTAGGGACACAGCACAGCCTGTTCTGTCTCAGATAAGCATCTTCATGCCTGAGCACTCATGGCTGTTTTTCTGCTACTGCAATGTAATTGCTTAGACCTGCGAAGCCCAGCCCTTGGTGGGGAGATCTTTCTTTCTTGTGTAATTAGCCTGTCCCAAAACAACTTGAGATGGCATAGTTCAGGGAGCCTCTCAAGTCTGTGGACAAGCCACATTAATCCAAGCTTTGTGCTCTACATTTTCTTCTTTGGCCCTGATGCAGCTAATCAAGTGCTCCTACCTAGGCCTACTGCTGCTACCTAGAAGTTTCATGCTAGAACTTCACATGCGCTCTGTAGTGCACACAGAACTTGCTAGTGGTGCTATTACTGTTTCACTCACCAGTAAACCAAACCAAAAGGCTCATCCTTCCTCGGCCTGGCCTGCAGAAGTTAACAGACTGACCCACATAGCACAAGACCATCCGTTCTAGAGCCATGCTGCCCCTGGAAAGCTTACAGGAGAAACAGACACAGGTTTATAATGTGGTCAGCCTGATTTTCAAGAGTAAAATGACAGGTAGAACTAGGCTTTGTGTGCCCAGTTTCTCTTCTCCAGACTCAAAAATCAGCTGAAGGTTCCTTTTTTCCTCGAGAAAAGTGTGTGACAGGCAACAAGAGGCCAAGAGTATTATGCTAATCAGTATCCCTCTATCTGGAGGAAATACCAGAACTAGAGTCCTTTCTGCCACCACAATTAAAAAGAGCACCCTGATAGGTAAATGTGCGATGAAATAAGTGATGTGACCTACAGCCCCTTTGAAACAGTTCTAGTTTTTGTGAGAAACCATTAAGTGGGAACCTTCTTCATGAAATGCATAAGTTCTAGTATTAAATAAACAAATCAGCAAAAAATGAAGCAAAAAGTAGTAGAGGGTACCAGCTGAGGTAAATTCAAAGAACCCCACACACAATCTGTTTTGGATAACATTTGCCATTTATTAATAAATGGAAAAAACAAACTCAATGAGATTCTGGGTCAGGTGGCAGGTGATGGGAGAAAGGGGCATGAGTTTAGAAGCATGGTTGGGTTTTGAATCCTGGCTCTCCCCCTTCCTTCAGCTGTGCCACCCTGGGTAATAATTTTTCTTTCTTCAAACCTTACTATGAAGACAACACCAACTTTAACCTGAGGGTTAAAACGTAGGATGCGCAGTGGGCCCTCTATTACTGATAGTTATTACCTTTTACTGCCCTTTACTCCTTCCACGGGGGCACGGACTATGGGCGCAGCCTCGGCCACAGGTCCCTTGTGTCTGTATCACGTGGCAAGATGACTAGGTAAATGTGTGATGAAATAAGCGATGTGACCTGCAGCCCTTCTTGTGTAATTAGCACACAAGAAGACTTCACCAGCTCAGCCTCTCATTGTGTGAAGCAGTGACATGCCTCTCTGTTCTCAACACAGGTTGAAGCCCAGCGAATGGGACTCTGCCCGGACTCCTCTCATTGGCTCCTGCGGCTTCCAGGAGCAGACAGTGCTAATAGATACTCCAGAGAGCAGTTATCGAAGGGTAAGAAGGGAAGAAGGGTAAAGAGAGGGTATTTTACTATCAGCCAGGCCGACTGTGTTTGAGGGCAAGGGGTTGAGGGACTTCCAGGACCTTGGGCAGTTGTAGGTCTAAAACTAGAAGGGTTTGGAAGATTGGAGGAACCTGGAAGAATTAGCCTAGTCATTGACTCTGAGGGAACATTCTCTCAGGATAACTTTTCTGTAGTGGTTAAGGAGGGGAAAGGAACCTGTTTCTTTAGAGTAAAACTCTCAAATTTTTCTTTCAGTTCCGGAATGGAGCAGGATGGAAACGGATCCTGCGTTCTTTCTGTTATTCCCGGGCCCGAGTGCCACTCCTGGCAACCATCTACTTTGTGTTGATTCATGTACTGCTCTTCCTGAGTTTCACAGGCCATCTATAACCCTAGTTCTTACCCTTTGCACCCTTACCCTGAAAACCTCCACTACCCTCAAAACCTGGCATTCTCATAACACCAAGTCTTCTCATTTACAGGTGATCTCTCCTAATGTCCACAGAAAGTGCCTAGAAAAAACAGAGGCCAGTATATGAGCACAGGTTAGAGCCACACGGATCAGCAAATGTGCTTCTTCTACTATGTAGGGCCTGACACCTCCTGCATAGTCTGAAGTGGCCCCACAGTTGGGCTGTTGAGCCCAATATTTGTTAAGGTTTTTCACTGCCCTGACCACTTGCAACTCCTGAAAGATACTAAAGAATATCTGTCAGTCAGGAGGATGATTCCAAGAAACCTAACAACCTGAAGTTCATTTTTGAGTGATACTTTTTAGATTGACTTGTTCATCTTAAATATTTTCTCCTGCTACAGGGAAAGGTAGTCCTGTCATAAAGTTCTGGGAAACATCATTTCATAGGATATCTGATTAGGTCTCTTCCAGAATAGGGTGGACCTAATGAACTCCTTTCCTAGATGTTCAGACGTAATTAGAAGGAGATTTGTATTCATGGACTTTAAAGATAACATCCATTGCTTATGTCCTTGATCCCGTGTATACTAAGGCATAGTAAGTCACCATACTTTTCCTTTCACTGAAAGGCAGGAAGAATGGTTATAAACAAGGAGTTTGAGGTTCTTATTCTCATTTCACCTGGCTATACCACAAATGTGAACATTGACTCTCAGCCGGGGAGATCTCACTGGTCAAGGCGGCCACCTCTAACCTCTACACACTAAAAGCATCTTTGCTGTTGGTGACCAATATTATTCCAGTGTCTCGGCCTCACAGTCGTCTGTCCTCTGTGGTAACAGAGCTGAGGAAAATGGGAGGAGATTATAGAGAAGATGAAAATATTCAAATCTAGACTTGAGAACAACCACCAGGACTGACTTCCATTTGTGCCTATTCGTTCTCCCCTCCCCTTTCCCCTGCTTCCCCTGCTTCCCCTGCTGGTTATTTTCTCTTTATGCCCATGATGTGTCCCGGCCTGCTGTTAGCACCCAAAGAAAACAGAAAACTGGGGATTGACTGAATCTATGCTAATCCTTTGTGATGACCAAATCTTGGTCACAGCAACCCCAGGAACTTTCCTGAACAGTTGTAAAGAATAAAATTATTTTCAGAATGAAAAAATATCTCATGTGCGTGTGTCTGAATGTACATATACACTGATGCTTACCTACATGTGTGTGCATGCTGGGGCGGGGGTCAGGGAAGGTAGATAGGGGAAGCAGAAATGGGATAGGAATGGAGAATGAGCTAGAAAGCTCTACATATCAGGCTTCCTTCTCACTGGCTGCATGGCTGCATGGGGTGTTCTACCCCTGGCCACTGGCCCCCAGGGTGGATGAAGTGGAGTGAGTTTATTTCATCTTAATCCTGAACCCAATAAACTAAGCCTTAGGAAATGAGATTCCTGCAGATTTATATCTAAATATATCTATATCTAGAGTTTATATCTAACTCTTATCTAATGCATATTGAATGTATTAGGCCTATTGGAATGCTTGTGAGTGGAAGTGGAGAAAGAGAACTCTAATAGGGGATTGCAGGATAGGTGTGGTATTTATTAAGTTGTTGCTTGACTCAAGGTACAATAAATGAACAAAGTGTATCTGTATCAGAACTCATGCTATTTTTTTTTTTAAGATTTATTTTTGCATAGAAGAATGGGTATAGGCCAGAGGGGCAGGATGTAAGAGGATTCACCAGGGACAGTGGGGAGCAGAACAGGCAGATTTACTAAAATGCATTGCTGAGGGGAGCAGTAGGCTAGACCGGAGAGGTCTACTGTACCATATATGCGCTATCTCACTTGCTGGGCATTGAACTCAGGCTGCAGTGGTGATAACACTGAGACTTAACCCCTATATCACCAGGAAGGTCCCACTCATGCTATTTTTATGTGCTACATCTCACTCCCTGTCATCAGAAATAAACTTGGGACATTTGCTAAGAAGAGAGGGTTTCTTGGTGTCATCTCTGAGTAAATTTTATGGTTTCTCAAAAAAACTCTATCTGGATGGTATATCACATACCTGTTTTTGACCCTGAACTAGAACTTCAAGTGTTCTCAAAAGATTTTTTTCTCCTAAAATTTGCACTTCCTTAAAATAATTTTGGTGTTGCCGTATTAAACAACATGAAGTAGGAGGTATCAATAAATCTTCCCAAGTACCCAGGTATAGACTCCATAGACTTGGAAGTGACTGAAGTCTTACTATGCTTAAGTAGAAATCCTCTTCTGTACCTTGAACTAATTTCGCCCAGTCTCTGCTGGAATCCAGTTGGGAGCGGATGACTGAGCATATGAGGTCAAAATTCCACATCAATAAAGATCAGGAGAACAATCATGAATGCTTCCAAATTCTCAGTTGCCAGAAAAAAAAGATTATTTCCTAGTCAAATTCTCCCTGAGTCTCTCACACTGTGGATGGGGTGCTATATGTCATCATTCTCAGTTGGGAACTGTACCACACAAGGACTCAGGCTACCAAAGGTGTAACTTTAGGGAATTGCCATTTGCCTCAGTGGACAGTGGGCAAAAGAACATGGCAAAGCTTGTGCCACTCTGACAGTCCCCACCAGAAAGTTGGATTTCACCTCTTACATATCACCGGCCAAAACAGGTTACCTGAGCAAGTCTGACTTTGAGAGGGAAGGGAAAGTGAGCAGTAATACAAAATACCACAAAACCCTTTCATCATCTGGCATCACTTTTTTTTTAAAGATTTATTTATTTATGCATACAAGAGCTGGGGTATAGGCCAAAGGTGCAGGAGGGGTGAGAGGATTCACCGGAGATAGAGTAGGGAGCAGAACAGGCAGACTACTGGAGTACATTGCTGAGGGGAGCAGCAGGCAAGACAGGAGAGGTCTGTTTCGCTGTATAAAGGTTAGCTCCCTGGCTGGGATAGAACTCACTGCTGCAGTGGCTGCGGATAGTTTCATAGTGCTGAGACTTAACCCCTTGCGCCACCAGAGAGACCCCTGGTATCACTTTCTCTAGGGATTTTTACTATTTCCAACCAAATCTACCAGTTAATGCAGACTGTTCACCACCCCCTAGGCAATCGCTGAACCTTTCTTCCTCTTAGTTTTTATCTCCTCTTGTGAATTCCCTTCCATCATTCAATTGATCAATTTTATTTGAATATATGCAAATAAATGCAGTAAATAACGTATTTTTTTAAATCTTACCCTTCAAAATCCACTTAAAAATAATTTTTTCTACTCAGTCTCACCAAATTCTCCAAATTCTATTACTGTAATATGCAACTTCCCACCTATTAAGGGTACAAATACTGTTCAACATTCTTTTATGTGTTTTCTGGTTGAAAGTTTTGCTTCCCTGACCATGTTATAAACTGAGAAAAGAGGAGAATTTTTATGACTTTCCAATAATCCTTAAAGCTTTGCAAAAAAAAAAAAATTAGGCACAGAAGAATTTAATCATTTTTATTTAAGTGCCTAAGCAGAAGGAACTGACTCAAATTTCAGGAAGTAACTCTGAGGACAGAGTGGCAGGAAATGACAGAAAACCTGAATACGGAACTGAAGCAGCAGTTCTGAATTTCTTGCTCTGAAGTGGCAGCTACCAGAGAGGGAGCCTACTGTCACCGTGAGGAGCGGGTTGCTCAGAGCAGACACTCGCACCTTTGGAGGTAGGTACTCTGAGCAGTGGGAAAGTTGGGGAGCATGGAGCAAGAGCTGAAGTAAGAGGATTCCTACCTGATTCTTAGTCCTTGATGAGAGATGAAGTCACTACCAGTAGACTTTTAACCTTTCATGGCCTTGAGGCCTGGCTGTGAGTGATTGTAGATCATGAGCAACGGGTTGAAAACAAGTGGTAGGCTGGAGACCAGGGAACTTGATTCAGCACCTATCCGGGGCTCCTGGTTTTTCTGACACCTGTTTCCAAGGCCTGTTGCACCTAGACACTGAGTTAGAAGGAGAAACACAGGCACTGAAGAGTGTATCTCTACCCTAGGGGAGTATATGGCTTAGCAGGGTGGCAAAACCCACATAGAAGACGTTGTCACAGATCAGGAAACAGTTGCAGTATGCCCCAGTGCTAAGAATTAGTGGTGATGGAGGCCAAATGCAGGCATGAACTAGAACTAGTTTCTGTGATTGTAGGATACTAGAATTTCACAATGTCAGAAATGGAGGGACTTTACAGATTACCTAAATTAACCTCTTCAATTATTTCCCATCCAGAAAAGCTGAGTAGCAGAGATTTGGAATGATTTACAGATTATTTAAGTTAATATTTGTAAATTGCCTAGCCTGGTACCTGGCAGTAAGTATATACTCTGTTACAGATTCCGATACTTGTTTTCCCACAGGGGCTGGGCTTGTTACTAACAGAGCTGGTGACCACCAGGTCTGCTGACTGTGTTCATGTACCTCTGATGCTAGAAGGCAGCCTTGTGATGAGGCCCTTGGTTGCCCCCCATATCCTGGGCACCGCGCCTCGCCAGTCACGCTCTGGTCTCCCACCTCCATATAGCGCCGCTCGGCCTCTCTATTTCTGGTCAGTAGGTCAAGGATATTAAGTTGTCACCGTATCAGAAACTCAGTCTGAAAAATACCTGATGATGGAAGGTTTCTGACAGAGTCAGGTTCAAGCCTCAAACGAATAGCAGGAAAGAACAAAGGACCATCAGTCCTCATTGCTTCCTTATTGCTCATGAGCATTTCAGGAACTTCTCCTTTCCAGTTTTCTGTACAAAGTTCTCTTGTTGCAGGCATCTCAGGAGCTGCGTTCATAGTTCTTCTCTACCTGCTCCCTCCAGGCTCCCAGCTCCCACCCCAGCCCCATCCCTAATGTTGCCCCACAGGGAAAGCCAGAGCTCTCTCAGCAGTGACGCATTCCCCAGCACTGCTGACTCAGTTAATACTTCCTCAATGTCTTCTTTGCATCTCTTTGGCCAATATAACCCTAAATTTTCCTTGGGCCAGTCCCCAAGGGGTTTTTCAAAGAATATGGAGAATGATGGAGTTTTCTAGTGAAAATGGGGAACCAGAAAGTCTGAGGACCTCGGTGAAGAAACTGGAGCATCTTGGGAGGTTGCAGAGGGGACTATTTCAAACACAGTAAAGAATGGGGGGAAAGACACTTATGGGATAAGGTATCTGAATAGGGAAGGCTGGGCAGGGGAGTTGTCAGCAAGAGGTATGAGGGTCAAGAAGTCTCAGAAAATGCTGAGCAGATAAGCATTGTTGGCTGTTGCCTCTTCACTCCATGGCCCAGGATCCACAGATGCAGGTCAAATGCATAGCTCATCCTCATAAACAACAGGCAGAGCCAACAAAAATATTGGGGGTGTCCAGTAGAGTAACAATTCGGTGCTCCTTCAGGGTAGTGTTCCCTAAATATTTGTTCAATATATATTCAGTTAATAAAAATCTGTTAACACTCAAAGGATTTATCACGTCATTTTTGAACTAATTATCTTCTTCAGGAATAAAATCGAATTCAAAAAATATTATAGAAAAAATGACTTATTCCCAGCAAATAAGACTCGCCCATGTTCTTTTCAATGTAGGAATTCCAGCTGACTGCTCCAACTGACCTCAGGTAGTTGTCCGCTAGGACAGCATTTGCAAAAGTGGTTGGAAAAATTCTCAATCAACTTAAACAAGTTGCAGAGAGGAGTGTAGATGCTCACTGTACCAGGAGCTGGACCAACTAATATTACACTAGCTATCAAAGAAATCATATGTAGAAACTTGAGTGAAATGGAATTTTCTAGCTTTCCTCACTGATGACCACTGCAAACCACTGCCTCAATGACCTCTTGACACAAGAGAGTTATCTCATAACTTTGACTCCAAGGTTGTTTAGATCCCTACACCATGATATCTTCTTTCCAGACTCAGGTGGGCCTAGGCCATGTTAGTGTATGTAAATATATCCCATCCCCCCTCTTCTAACTGAACAGAGTTGTTTTCCTGAAGCCCCCATCTGCTTTGCCTCAACTTCTATTTTCTTTTAAGATGGTGAGGAGCAGTGGGTTGCTATGTCTTGATGTCAGCATTCTTATTTTCCCTTCTTTTAATTCCCCCCTCCCTAATGATTCCCATCTTCTGTCCCCCTCAGATGTGGAAGTCTGTAGTAGGACATGATGTATCCGTTTCTGTGGAGACCCAGGGTGACGACTGGGACACAGACCCTGACTTTGTGGTGAGTTTGGGAAGTTTTATTTGGGAGTTTTATTTGGATAATGAAGGGTGGGTGGTGGGGGGAGGCATGTGGGATACTCCACAACTTTCTAGGGGGACTTAGAAAAGCATGGCCTGGATTGAGATAATCCTCATGGTGGAACTGACCCGGAGGGCAGTTGGCTGTCAGGAGCACAGCACGCATCACCACTGGTTTGGAGGAGGGAGGAGACAGGTACAGAGGAGTTCAGTGCTTTGATCGGCAGGCTGGTGTCAGGCTATGCTGAAGCTGAGAAGCCCGCTAATGTAGGTCTCCTTTGGCCTATGAACCAGGATTTGGACTGGGCATGTGAAATTTGGGGGGACTCAGAGAAATCTAGAACAGCTGAAGAGGAATGTGTCAGGGATGCAGAGTAGGAAGCGAGGTTTCATAGCTTATCCAATAATTTTAACATGGGAATCAGAGTGGGTTAAACACAGAGAGGAGTCTGACTAAAAATCCTGTCTGCAGAAGGCAGCAGAGCAGGGATGTGGGGAGCTTATATTGCCATCTTTCTTGCTATCACTTATTGCTGAGTGTTATCTTTTGCAGAATGACATCTCTGAGAAGGAACAACGGTGGGGAGCCAAGACTATTGAGGGATCTGGACGTGCAGAGCACATCAAGTAGGTGCTAAGAGGATTGGAGGAGGGGGAGGGCTGTGGGAAGAGCCAAAGAAAAATGTGGAGACTAGAAGAAGATGAGGAAGGAAGGAAAGGGAGAAGGTAGTTCAAGTCTATGTGTTTTTATGTTTGCTTTTCCTTGTATCCGTGTCTATGTGTCCCTATGTGTGACACTGTGTATTTTGATATTTTATGCCTCTCTCCTTACCCCTCAACCCCACTATCTGTCTTTTATTTCTATCAACTTTGCCATTTCTCCAACTGGGTCTATTGTATTAACTGCCTCTTTTCCTTTAATAAGGCAGGAGGGTCTCTGAGAGGAAGGAGCTCATATGTTGATGTTGTATCATTTATTATCTATCATCTATCTATCACTCAAATCATCTATCTAGTCACATATTTTTTTAAAGATTTATTTTTATTTATACAAGAGCTGGGGTACAGGCAGGAGTCGCAGGAGGGTGAGAGGATTCACCAGAGACAGAGTGGGGTACAGAACAGGCAGACTGATGAAATACACTGCTGAGGGTAGCAGCGGGCAAGACAGGGGATGTCTGCCTCGCCATGTGGGATTCTCTCTGGCCGGCCTGGAATCGAACCGGTGCTGCAGAGGCTGAGGACAGCTTCACAGCATGGCACTCAACCCGCTGTGCCACCGGGGGGGCCCCTATTCACATAAATTAAAATGTGTGTCCAGACTCAGATGGGACAAGGAGGATTCAGTAAAATGTCAAGATAGAGAACTCAAAATAAATGCTGTAAAAAGAGGATTATCGGGTCCCATACCTGACTTGAATGATTCTTAAAATGAAAATTTGTACTTGGCTCTTTGACAGAAGTTGAAAACCATGAATGTAATTTGAACAGATGAGATGTGGAAAGCCTGTTGACTTAAACTATTTTAACAATGATGTTTAAGAGTCTAAAAGATTATAGCCCAATTACTTCACTAGAAAAGAAAAAGGAAAACAAAAAACTGATAACATAATGGGTGTCCAGGAGTTTTGTGTGATTTATTGTATATTCATATCAAGAGATTCCTTCCTTGAAGATTATTCAGGATCATCTTCTGTGGATTATTTAGGGCTCATAGATTTTAAAATAATAATTCAGACCCATACCCTTTTCTGAGTAAAGGCTATTCAGCCTTAGTTCCCAGTCCTTAGAATTATTCTAAATATTATTAATTTAATATTAAGAATTATTAAAAATTCTCCTGTGCCTTCAGACTCCCACAGCCTGTTTCATGTCTAGTAGGGGCACATGAAGGAAGCCCTACCATGATATTCTGGAAGGAGCCTGAGTTTGGATAGCAGATGTACTTAGACTTAATTTATATCTCTGCCATTACTAGCAATGTGAATTTAGACATACATCTTCTCTGACTCTCACCTAATTTATCAAATAGACATAATAGTAGCTACTCTATATGTGTTTGGTTAGAATTTAGTTGGTTAGTTTATATCAATGTCTAATGAAATACTTAGCTCCTCTTATCAATTCAGTAAAGCTATTTCTCTTTCCTGTTAATATAGATTAGTTTAATTTGTGCTTCTTCCTTAAAACCTAACATAAACATGTAAGTAGATGACAATCTTCCTGAAGTAGTATTTTCCTGAATAGCTGCATTGCATGGACCAGTCTATACACTGACTGGTGATATCTGGAGTTGTATAATCCCCCTGGGTATTCCTTTGTTTGCCCAAACTGTATCTATATATCATAGAATAAATGGAGACATTTACACAAAAATTCACTCGCCACCTACCCTTTGTAAAGACACAGGATCTCTGCTGATAATTAGCCAAGTAATCTTGGACAAATCACTTTTCATCTGTGATTCTCATTTTTCCCTTTAGGATCAAAAAGACTTCTCAAGGACCACCAGTACTAAGTCTAATATTCTGGGATTCTGTCCGGCTAGTGGTCTAAGTCAATAAGTCAATCTTCAAGGTCAGATGGAAACCACTAAGGTCCTAGGGAAGGAGGGGGAAGTTAGAGTGGAGGACAGTAGCTATAAGAGCTCAGATGGTTCAAATCAGGAAAAGGAAGTGATTGTGGTTCTCACTAATCTCACTACCTACCCCCATACCATGGTCTTTCCTTTTTAGGTCTGTCTGAAGTAAATTTAGTCCAGAGAGTGGTTTAGTAATTTGGGTAGTCACTCATATGATCCAACCTAACCTGTAGCTATTGTATAGCAGAGTCCTGGGCTGGGTGCTCAACTAAGCCAATGTTTCCTTAAAAATGCCTAGTTTTCTGAGGCTTCCCCTGTGGTGCAAGGGGTTAAGCATCAGCACTGTGAAGCTATCCATAACTACTGCAGCATGAGTTCAATCCCTAGCCAGGGAGCTAACACACATGACACAGCAGACCTCTCCTGTCTCGCCCACTGCTCCCCTCAGCAATGTATTTCAGTCAATCTGCCTGTTCTGCTCCCTGCTCTGTCTCTGATGAATCTTCTCACCCCCTGCACCTCTGGCCTGTAACCCAGCTCTTGTATGCATAAATAAATAAATCGGGCCTCCCTGGTGGCGCAAGGGGTTAAGACGCAACCTATGAAGCTATCTGCAGCCACTGCAGCATGAGTTCAATCCCTGGCCAGGGAGCAACCCACATGGTGCAGCAGACCTCTCCTGTTTTGCCCTCTGCTCCCCTCAGCAGTGTATTTCACAATCTGTCTGTTCTGTTCCCCACTCTGTCTCTGGTGAATCCTCTCACCCCCTGCATGTCTGGCCTGTACCCCAGTTCTTGTATGCATAAATAAATAAATCTTTGAAAAAAAATCTTTTTTAAAAATGCCTAGTTTTCAAGGGCTCTTGTCCTTCCCTCCATCTTCTCCTCACCACTCTCCGTACTCATGTTTTTTGCTGTCTTTTCATGGGGCTAGTAAAAGATCCTTATCCTTCTAAGACAGCGCTTCTTAAACTATCTGTGACAAAGGACCAGGTTTTTAATTTTATGTTGAAGTAACATTAGCTTATAACAGTATATAGGTTTTAGGTGTGCAGACATGTCAACATCTCTATCTACCACATTTTGTCCCAAAAGTCTAATTTCCATCCTTCATCATATAGTTGACCCCTTTGTACCCAATTTACCCAAACTGCACCCCCCTTACCTTCCAATAACCACTATTTTATTCTTTTAGTCGAAGAGTTTTTTATTTTGTCACTTGTTTTGTTTCATCTACCACAAATGAGTGACCACATAGAGTCTTTATCTTTCTCTGTGGGACTTGTTTCAATTAGCATAATACCTTCCAGAGGACGGGGTTCTGACTATTTGTATTTAAATCGATCATAGACCAAAACTTTTGTAAAATAAAATAAAATTGAATTGCTGGAAAACGTAACGATAAGGAACCATAGAAAATACAAGTACACTTTATATTTTTAGATACAATAGTTATAAAACTATTATGTCAAATTTCTTATAAAATATCTAAATACTCTCAATTTTTGTTCTTATTTCATTGTGGAATACAAACAGTTGGGCTTGTGGACCTCACTTTGAGTAGCACTGCTCCAGTAGAACAGGCTTTCGTACTCTCCAAAACCCACTGGCCTTTAGGTTACTTCCTTATTGAACTATAACCAAGGATACCTGCCACGATTGCCATTTCTTACTGTCTTGTGCTCTGACCTTTAATACCAAGTAGAAATGAAGAATAGCATATAGCCAAGAGTATTAAGATAGCATTCTGGAAATCTAGGAACTGATCTCAGCTCTACTGTAAAAGGGTTCAGGGTATAGAAGAGAATGATTTTATGCACTTTCTGTTTCCCGGTGGTGACCAGAAATAATACTACCAGCCCTCTTTACCTCACAGAGGTTCTGTGAAGAGTTACAGATAGGAAATAAGAATAATGGCTAACATTTATTGAGTTATTATGTTATGCAAAATAAAAGTGATTTTCAAAATAGCCCTATATCAGAGATGATCTTGTTATTTTGATTTCACAGAAAAATAAACAGATACATTGATGTTTAGCAATTTGTCGAAGGGTATACATTTAGTAATTTGAATTTAATGCTGTTTGATAACACAGGTTGAATTCTTGGCTGCTATGTCATATTGCTTCTATATCTAATTTACATATATTGCTATGTTCATAATTTTCTTGTTGAAATGGAATGCAATTCCTATGAATTAAACTGTAACCTTTTCCTTAAACTGTTATTCTCTTTCAAATGACAAAGTACCTCGCAGATTGGTCTTATAATGAACTATATCATGTTCATAAGTATGAATATCTCTGTGAAAGCCTATCTCTATGAAAGCCTATAAAACAAAAGCCTATCTTTCACTTCATGTTTTCTTCTTTCTTACTAAAAAAACAAAACAAAACAAAAACCCTGTACTTTCTTGAAGCATAATCTTTTTAAGAAAACAGTTCAATGAGTGTTGACAATACACACATATAATCAAAAACACATCAAAATATAAAATATTTTCATTACCACAAAAATTCCTTTTTACATCTTTATAGTTAATATCCCCCATCCACATCCCCGACTACATATAAATACTGATCTTCTTTTTGTCACAATAGATTACTTTTGCATGACCTAGAATTTCATGTAAATGGGATAATACAGAATATACTGTTTGGTTTCTGTCTTCTTTCACTCAGCATACTGTTTTTGACACTTATCTACTGCCTTGTGTGTACCAGTCTTTTGCTCTATTTTCTTGTCAAGTACTATTTCATTACTATGGATATAGTAATGAAAGTCACAGTTTGTTGTATCTAGTACCCTGTTAATGGATATTTGTTGACAATTTGGGACAATTATATATCAAACATTTTGATACAAATCTTTTTTGTTGTTGTTAACATATGTATTTATTTGCTTGGGAAATACCTAGGAATAGAATTGCTGAGTTATATAGTAAGTGTGTGTTTAAGTTTTTAAGAAACTGCCAAACTGTTTTCCAAGAGAAATTTGCCATTTTCATTCCTACCAGTAAATACGGGTCTCAATTATTTCTCATCTTT